AAGTAAGAGTATTTTAAAAACTGGCTTTTCATACTAAATAATATTATATACTGTAATTTGTAACGAGTCCGGCTTCGTTATTTCGAGTAGGTAGTGAAAGTTGACACACGTTTTTGACTGCACATTTGTATAAGTGGTGAAGTCTATACATTTTGTATGTATAATCTATACTTACATATAATAAAATTCTGAATCGAATCTCTGTACATTAAATATTTTTTTGGAAAATCTTATTAAAATAGTCATTATCGATAAAGAGACCGAAACTATAGTTTTTAGAATTTTGTCTATCTGTCTGTCTGGGAAAGCATCACGAGAAAAGCACTGGACAGATTTTGATGAAATTTGGTATGATGATAGCTAGTTATCCGGGTCAATATATAGGATATATTTTACTGCGGGCAAATATCTCATCTCTGAGAAATCATACTAAACGTTAAAACTATAAATATTATAAGATCGAATCATTGGCACTATAACTTATTTTTGTTTATAGCTAATTAAAACATTATTATATGTGTTTACATTACACAATAGTGTCTTATATCTTTATATATAGTTCATATTAACAGTGGTATGTACTATGTATTACTTATTTCTAAATTAATACTGCAAGTTCAGGCAGTGGTAGCCCAGTGGTAACGCGCTCGCTCGGGAAACCAAGTGAAGCGAGTTCAAATCCCGGGTCTCACACCTCTGATATTTTCATTTGCGAATCATTTCCAACATGATAACCATTTTTCTTAACGGTGAAGGGAAACATCGTGAGGAAACCTGCATGTTAAGAAAACCTAGCAAGTTTTCGAAAAACATGTGAAGTCCGCCAACCCGCACTTGTCCAGCGTGGTGGACTATGGCATGATTCCCCTCGTACAGAAGGGAGGCCCGTGCCCAGCAGTGGGACGTTAAAACGGGCCGAATACATATGTACAATACATATTGCGAGTTCAAATACCCTCAGACTTATTCTGTTCTATTAATGACAAAAGTAACAGTTAAAGAAGTATGACTGCAGTCCATCAATTCGAAGTACTCATCTCTCATCTCATAGTCACCCTACTTACGTGGCCATGTGGTGACGTCACAGTACAAAGTCCACCGGTCTAATTGAACGGTATGAATACAACGGTTTAGGCAATTACGTGATAGGAATACCATTAAATAACAATATTTAACACGCCTGTATGAAATGTAACAATAAATATTGAATTTTAATAAGTATTTGTTAATATGTTAGAATCTGTAGAGTTATAAGACTGGATATTGAATATAGAAAGTTTATTTCATTATTTTATTTTTGCCTCGTAATAAAGTTATTGGATTACTTGTTGCAGATCAAGACAACTTCTTTCTATGAAAAATTAAGCAATACTAGAAAGACTGATAAAAAAATATTTTTATATATTTTACAATTTGCACAGGTTTAGATGTAAATTACGATTTGTTTAATAAATAACTTAATGTACTATATTAGCTAATAACAGGTTTCCATCAAGTATAATGTGGATGTACTGATCTAATCTATCCATATTACGTCTTGAAACGTGGACACCATACATAGGTGGCCATGTAGTGACGTCACAGTACAAAGTCCGTGAGTTTAATTGACCGGTATAAAAGCAGTTTAGGCAATCATATCAGCTATTCAAATAATCAAAATGTTACAAATATATCTCGCTCCCCTTTCCTGCAGTTTTACTCGCGATCATAATATTTATAAAAAAGTTTGTTAAGTCCATTGAAGTTGCAAGTATATACATATAACAAATAGACAGACAAAACACATGTACGTAAAACAGTATTGTCTTAAATCTATGCTAATATTCTAAAGAGGCACAGTTTGTACGCGCTAATCTCAGGAGCTACTAATCCGATTAACCGAAAATCTTTTTGCATTAGATAGCCTATTTATTGAGGAAGGCTATAATAGGCTATATATAATATATAGTTTATCTATTCCGTAGTAAAATGTTCCGAGGGACGAACCCCGAGCAAAGCTATAAAAGACAAAAGTGATTGACTGATGTATCAACGCACAGGCTAAACCCTTAAGGCTAGAAAATTGAAATTTCGCACACGTATTCCTCATATGACGAAGGCATCCACTAAGGAAGGATTTTTCAAAGTTCAACCCCAAAGGGGGTGAAACAGGGGATAAAAATTTGTATGAAACCTACCTTTTTAGAGATAAAGCCGCAGGTTCTGCTAGTTTCAGTAATATTTCATCACGTAGGCAATAAAATGGCAAAGCTAAGTGTGGTGTACCTAATCATATTACGAAATGTTAGCAATTCGCAAAAATATTGAAATTTATTACTTGTTTATTTTCAATTTCTATTAATTGGCAATTAATGTAGGTTGCCTTTTGGCAAAACTGAATGTTTTGTCTATAGTGCAAAATACACTGAGGGTTTGCGCAACTTGCATATAATAGTTATTTTTGTATAGGAATAACAACTTTTTCCATTAGCCTACATAATGTTTATAATAATTATTAAAATTAAAAAAAAAAAGACAAACATCTTGTTGCCTTATCAGCTTAAAGGTATCTCATCTTAACATTTTTTGTTTAAGTTTCCAAAACGTAAATCTATTGTACATCTTAATTGAGCGCAAAAAACCGTTAACCTTATTTTAGGAATTGCTTTATTTCTTATTAAAGCACTTATTCATTGTAGAAGAATATTATTCAATCTTTAAATAGTAAGATATAGTAATATACATATTTAAAGTGATTTCAAAGTAACAACTAATATTTTTTCGGTTTTATTGTAATCTTATATTTTATGTACATATAATGTAAGAAAAACAAAGCAATAAAACTATTTTTCAATAAGTAAATATTTATTAAGAAATATGAACTTTATTAACATAGCGTTGGTGTGTACTTTCGTTTATAAAAGGTATGTTATCTACAATACCTATTGATAAATTAAGTGGCATTTTTAAGTTTGACTTTGAAAGGCATAAGGGACAAAAGGTTAGATATGATATTATTATAATAAAATTGAAATAGAAATATTATTGTTGACTCAGACCAAATATTTTTTTTTTATTTGGTGTGAGTCTATATAAAGTACTGTAACGATTTAATGATTATAATAAAATATTTCGCGTATACCACTTCTAAATTACTATTCAGGTAATTCGGTTACGGCTTACATGTTATCAGTTTTTATTTTTGATTGCGGCCGCGGTGTATATGAAATGAAATGTCTTCATTTCTTTGAGTGATGATTATATCGTCGTCATCCTCGCTACCTGCGTTAAGGTTACCGTACGTTTAAATATACATCACTATAATTAAACGTATATTTGTGTTACAAAAATATTTCATTCATATTTTATTACTATAATTACTGTACATTTTGATTTTTAACAAAAACTATAAAATATATTTTTAATTTATTCTTTGAGTTTATTACTAATTGAGGTTTAATTATAAGCATTTATTTGAACCAAAATTGTTTTCCTCAGAACCAGTTACATATTGAGTTTTCTTTTTAAACACAAGGAAAGTTAATAAAGCTAAAATAGTACCTTTCATTTTTAAAGGTGATTTAAACAACTTATCAAATTCTTATTATCTGACCAGGACGTTGCTTAATTTTGTGTTATAACAACACATTTTTAGCTAAAATGGCGTCTGTGTTCGAAATTTAAAAACGCGGTCGATCACGCACCGCGCACGTGTTTAGAGACAGCTACAGCTGCTTGGACTTTGGACCTACAATCACCGGTAACGCCTTGATACCGAAGATATTCACGTTACTTAGCGCTGATTTTATTTCTTTTTTTAAATGTGCGTCTATCTTTTTTAATCTATGGCAATGATCTCTTTTGTTTAAATTTAGAAATAGGTACATAATTGTGTAATAGTTGGTATTCTATGTAATAATTTTTATTTTAGGATAATCGCCTACTATACATTTAGTTTTTATTGCAGCTTTTGATGTGAATTGTTTTAATAAATGTATGCCCTGTTCATGTAAGTGGTGTAGAAAATAAAGGTCATTTTTTATATTTTACCTATTGATTATAGTTTTTACGTTTTCTTTCAAAATGTTAAACTTACAAGTTACAATTAGCTTAGCATATGGATGGCATATCTAGCTATAATTGTTAATATTTAATTTTGTTATAATGCACATTTTGGATGCTTCTGGATTTTTACGGATAAATATAATTTATAAATTTATTTATTTTGTAAATTGAACATACAGAATACATGTACAAGAAATTTTTCAAATATTACATTAATAACATGCCTTTATAATAACATTATTCGTCACATTTATAACATAAATTTTCCTTGAACTATAAAAATAGTCAAATAACGAGAAATAACGCTCGAAACCTCCTAAATTGAAATTAAAATGCGTTGGAATTTTGCCAGCCATTATACCTAAATATTCAGGTGCTAAACATAGCTGCTTAATATACACTGCATATCTACAATATTTTAGTGTTAATTAATTGCATATAAAATTTTATGTTATGTACCTCATTTCAGAATACTATTGGAAATAAATAATCTAATAAAATAGAAGTATGCTGTCGAAGTATGTTTTTGTCTAGCCAAGGTAAAGTTTAACAATGCTGAGTCCAAAGTCCACAAGGTAAACTGTATAAACGTCACAATATCGTAGAGAACGTGTCGCTTTCTTAACTAAACTACGATATTACTATACATAGCACTTACTATTTAATAAAATTATATAAAGTGTTTGAAGCTATTTCATACAACAAGCAACTTCGAAACTCAAATTGCTTCTTTTATTTCACTTTGGTAATTTAAATATATAAACAAAGAGGATAGATTCTTTATTTAAGATTCTTATTAAAAAATTTAAACATTTGTTGGTGTGTTATGAATTATTATAATATGTTATGTATATACATGTCATTAGTAGTGAAGTAAACAAAAGCATGTGAAAGCTAGATTATTTTGATACTGCTTCATCTGATCTTATTAGATAATAAACGTATTGATCACTTACTTTTTCTAAGCATTGCTGTCCGATGGAGTTGGGTTCCACCTTGACTTCCAATATCACAGAATTAGGTTGGCTAACTAACCACATTTTGAAATTTATAATGGAGAAATTTCCAAAATTTGAAACAAAATTGAGGTCGAAACTCTGTTTTTTTAATTATCAAACAAACACTTATGTTTACTTATCTCACACGCGTAAAGAATTTGTTTAAAAATGTCTTTCGTAATTCGCTCTGTGAAATGTTTATCGCGTATTCTTTGTGGAAGTAAAACTGAGAATACTTCCATACGACGGCCATACTATGTTAAGTTTGCCACCGAAATGATAAAGAAACGATGACGTGCGCGACCACAGCTTGCTACACTAGGTTCAAAAACCTCTACAATACGCTAGGTTATATTTAATATCAACCAATCCATTGCTGATTTATAAGCAATAACTAATGATTCATTGAAACTAACTCTTCAATGTACGCTCGGGCCATGACGTAAACAAGCATCGTAACGTAATATCGGATGTACGTGCACATTTGCAACTATTAGTGGTCTCTTTCATTCTCAGTAGTGATAAACAGGGACAAAAACTGTTATGACGTCCTCTATTTTTTCACGTAATATTATTTATTCCTTTATGAATGAATATAATGTGTATATGTATTATATTTTATTTTAAATTTATAATTACATTTTAATAGATTATTATTTCAGTTATACAAAATATTCCACACTGCTACAATTTAGTTATAGAAAACAGTAAATCCCATTTAATTCATTTAAATTTCGCGCTTTCTTTTGTAACTTTTAGTGTGACCAATAGTATTTTGTAACAAAAATAGGACTTACATAATTTATTTAAAACACGTTAAGTGATTATTTTGTATAATTGTTTTTATTTATTTAAGGTAAAAGATATAATAAAATTGGATTTTGTTATCTTATAATAATTTATTGCCATCTTATTATTGCACACTATATTTTTTTTAAACTAGTAATATATATTATATTTTAACGCTTCTAAATAGTTTCGTTACATGCATATTGTGTGAGTAAAAACTGAAAATGTCTTATTTTATATTTTTACTGTATACGAAGATAAAATTACCTAGTGAACAAAAGATGATATGCATTTATATTTAAAAAATTTGGTCTCAGTTTTTTAATTGATTAATTAATTTTAGCGCATCATTCTGTTCCATTTTACGCGTCAGTTGCAAAGCACGAGCCGATGACAGCGCCAGTCGTGACAACATAACAGAACTAAACCAATCATATGACTACTTTTCGTCACGTCTAGTTTTCTTATTGATTTGTGTCTTGGTCTCGATTCTATCCACATAGTTTTTGTGTCTATCAGAAATGGCGAGTCAGACACAAGGAATCCAGCAACTTTTGGCTGCTGAAAAGCGAGCTGCCGAAAAAGTATCAGAGGCGAGAAAGCGTAAGTCTATTTATTGCGTATTTAAACTTTAATCGTCAACCATTTACCACCCTGTCGTATAAATGAAAAGACACCATAAATCGCATACTTGCTCTTAATCATTTTAGTTTTCTAAAATGTTTAGTTAATGTATGGGAGTTTTAACGAAAATTTGATATCTCCGATACTTCGTTTTTGTGTAAATTTTCCTATCACATGATTTCATCTCGAAAGGATGATTATAACGAAGAAGTTAAAGTAGTCACACTCCATAATTTACGACGTAGAATAATATATTTTGGATAAAAGTAATTTTTATTATAACATTTATATTTAAAATGAGCCACTGTCCTTTGTTAGTGCAAGTCTATTGTTGACATGAAGTCATATGACATGATTATGATTAGACTATATTAGACAGATTGCTATAAAAAAATTACCTGTATCAAAATGCACATCATTACTTACAAAGTCATAAATCAGGTGTACAGAACACCAGGTTTAATGTTAAATATTTGTGCTTTGAAGTGACTACAAATTTTCATTCTAAATCTGACATTTATGTAACTAAAACATTGAAACAGCAAAAAGTTAAATTACCTTTCATACATTACTCATTATTTAAAAAGTAAATTTTTCAGAATGAGTTGTGAAAATAATAACTTATAATTACAGGAAAAGCGAAACGCCTAAAGCAAGCCAAGGAAGAGGCCCAAGATGAGGTTGAGAAGTACAGACAGGAGCGTGAGAGGCAATTCAAAGATTTTGAGGCCAAGGTTTATATTTATTATTTTTTTGATATAATACTCATAACATTTATTCAAAGGTTCGATAGCTTTAATAATAACAATTGAAATTATAATATTTTATATAGTATGTACACCGGTAGTAACAACAGATTTGCAAAATATCAACTTTTTCCTAAAAGATGAATGATCTATAGTGATAATTATTGAATTTATATTAGTAAATGTTCTTTTTTGTAGAGATGTAAGTTTTTAAGAGTATAATTTGTTACAGATTTTTAATTGTTACAAATTCTGTTGAATTACCACCACTTAGAATTCTTAAAATTAGAATTCTCTTGCCTGTTATTTAAAGTAAAGAAAGCTTTTTAAATCTACAGTAGGTACTAGTAACAACTAATAGTGATCTTATTAATTATTGAATTTTATTTGTTGTTTTTTGTTGTTGCTCCTTAACACAGAATATTTTATAACTCCAGAACTTCACCCAGCCAATTGAAATTAAATTGTACAAACCGATTATGTAAAAAAAAGTGTTGATAATAATAATATGTTGATTTAAAAAAAAATATGTATGGACAACATTTACCAACAAGGTAAGAGTAAGTTCTGCAATTTGCTGGTAAGGAATCTTCCCACCACTGATAGAAACTAATAGAAGAAGGAAAGGAATGATTAAAAAATATTTGAATTAAATTTTTAAAGGTTATATAATGTGAATATTCACTAAGTGTTTATATTATAGCATATGGGCACAAGGGAAGGTGTTGCCGCCAAGATTGATGCAGAGACAAAGGTGAAGATTGAGGAGATGAACAAAATGGTCAAAGTACAACAGGAGGCGGTAAGTTTCCCTTATATAAGTAGAATGTGAAAATCTAACTGTTTTCAAAAAGTGATTTTTCTTTAGAGAATATAGAAAGTTTATGTATCTATTTATCATTATTTGAAACTATGTCTTTTTTTTATTTAGGTTATAGAAATAGGTATAATGTGATTTATATTATATAATAAATTTAAATATTAAATTTTATTACTTATGTGCATCTAAATTTGCTACTAATTAAATCTTGTTACATTTTTAATTTTTGAAAATATGAAGTTTTAAGTTTACTAATTGGTAATTTTGCAAAATCTTTTTTAATTTATACAGTACCTGGGGGAATTTTTAGTCACAAGTACAATTTTTTTTTAAACTAAAAGCTTGAATAAATACAAAAAAATAAATAAAATAAAAGTAAAAACTTTGTATACGACTGGGATTCAAACCCGGACGCCTATGATAATCAACCTTGACCACTTGACCATGTTGCTTATGCTCGAGCATACGAAATTAGCGACCATATTTTGCGTGCGTAAGAAAATCGCATAAAAACTCGAAAACACGCGTTTTCCCAGACTTAAGACTAATCTAGATCGATTTATCGCCCCCGAAACCCCCGCACACTGAATTTCATGAAAATCGTTTGAGCCGTTTCCGAGATTCAGATTATATATATATATATATATATATATATATATATATATATATATATACACATACATACATACACAAGAATTGCTTGTTTAACGATAATAGATTAATGATATATATGGTAAACATTTTTTAATTTTTATTGGTAATAAGTATAAATATAACTTTTGCAGGTGATCAAAGACATCCTCAGCTTGGTGTATGACATCAAACCCGAGCTGCACGTCAACTACCGCTTATAAGCGAACTTTGTTATGCATAAATTATTATACATTAACGCGTATTAAATCTTTGCGAAACTATTATAGTTATTATTCTGTTTATCTGTAGCCATTAGGGATGCGTGCAAATGTCACAATTTTCGAATGCATGATTTATCTTCAAAATATACTCGAAATACTTTGAAAAATAGCTTTTAACACCTAAAATTTTATTTAATATTAAAATTATTTTTAAAATTTTCGATTTATTGTGCATTTAAAATAAGTGACGGCTTAAAGGCGGGAAAAGCAAAATGGCTGCCATGTGCTGTATATACATGAATGCTAGTATTGCCATGTTTAATAATTAATCATTAAATATTACCCTTCAATAAAATCAGCTCGATATCATTCCAATTAATGAAGGATCCGTTGAGAACGCAAAAAAAACTTATATTTTAAAATTGTATGTTATTCAATGTTGTATGTTGAATAGAAATATATGGAGTTTTAAAAAGATGTTTTTATTTTATTTTGTCGTGGATGATCTGTCTTGGACAGCAATAGAAGAAATATATTCATTACGTAAATTATCTTGTTTTATTGGAATTTCTTGAGTTATGTCGATTTTATAATTGTATTCCTGAAAAAAATATTGTAAAAATTTTATAACGCCCCATGCAAAGACTGGTATTTAAAGATATTTATAAAATTACATATAAACTACCTACATACTAAAAGAAATTATTTCTTATCTAAGTATCTCCTTTTTGTATCAAAAATCTTTCAACAGTCTTATATATTACACTTGACAACATTATCTGATTATATCAATAACAACTGATTAAAATGATAAGTATTAAGGATGTTTCATTCACATTGTAAGTGTTGAATTTAGTTGTTAGTTTTTAGAATAAGTAATTGAAACTAAATAAAGCAGGTATATTTAGGTATTGGATACGATTTTTATGAGATTGGTGGATATTTATTTCATTCAATTGCTTTGTTCACTGTCTTCTAGGAAGTGCCATTTGGGCACAATTTACTTCAATTTACTGCGAGAAAATATCTCATCTCTGTGAAATCTATACTAACCGTTAAAACGTACGACGAATCCGAGCGGAATGAGGTTGAGGCGCTAGTATTATAATTTATAAATACGAATGTTTGTCACTGAGCAAATATTTTGTTAATGCTTCTTGGTAAAATTGCTCAATGTATTTGAAGGAAATACAAAATGGAGGTGGCTTATAACTTGTATTAACTACAAGTGTATGTACCTGCGAGCGGTGTCATAGGAAAACTACTGAAACTATAGATGAAGTACACTGCCCAAATCTGATATCTTAGATGTAGTGTATTCAAATATATTACGTAAGCGTCACTTTGTTTTCTCCAATACTTTCCAGCCAGGATGTAACAGCCCCGACGGTCGAGAACACTGCTGGCTGGTCTGGTTTGTCACAACGTTTGGAAGAAAAAGACAAAATGCCGACTAATAATCCGTCCATTATTGCCGGTCCTCCTGCATCGTGCTGAAATTACACAATATACCTATGTATACTTAAGCGCCCATTTGTACTTGGGTTAATTAAAAATGCTGAAAGACCTTGGACAAGCATTTAGTCAAGTGTAGAGAAATTTAGACAATTTAGACAGCGATTCCAACGTCAGTGTTTGGTGTGGGTCTGTATGCTTATAAAGGTACCTAAAGATTAAACTACCTATCCATCGCATTCAGTCCTTTTAACGTCTCACTGCTGGGCACGGGTCTCCCTTTACTACAAAGGGGTCAGGCTATATTCCACCACGCTAGCCAAGTGCGGGTTGGCGGACTTCACATGTTTTTCGAAAATTTGCTAGATTCTCTCAGACATGCAGGTTTCCTCATGATGTTTTCTTTCACCGTAAGACAAGTTGTAATCAAATTGTAAATGATTCGCAAATGAAAATGTTAGAGTGGTGAATGAGGTGTGTTTGCATGGAAATGCAGAACCTGCTTCACTTGGTTTCCCAAGCGAGCGCGTTACCACTGGGCACTGGACTACAACTGCTTTGAAGTATTCATAGACCAAGTAGTTAGAATTGTTACTGTTGAGAATTCATATTACTAATAAAATTAAGCTATTTTATTAGTTCCAAAAACTGACGAAGTGACTAGGTAAATGCAATCACTTATATGTATTACAAAAATGTTTATTTCATCCAGTAATGCAGATAGCAAGCACGAATCAGTATAATTCTTTTAAAAAATACTCACATTGCATACATTTTTCGCGAGTGTTATATATCCTGCGCAGAAGTTAGTTCTTGTAACCAGATTTCTACAAAAAATGAATTATAATCGTATTAAATAATAAAGAATCTTATGTTTTCTATACGTATCTAACAGATCTTTACCTGCCGTAGATCTCTTGGCAATCAGCAAGATCATAGACTGGAAGGACTAACTTCTGTAGCAGCACTTGTCCACCCAAACCTCCGATGCTCTTAAATATTAAGAATTATAGGTAAAACATAATTTGAATTGGATATTATATACCAAAATATGTTCAATTAATGATCAAAGTAATATATAATGTATATTTTATTATACGAGTTCCATTCTCATCTGAATCGTAAAAGTCCCGTTAAAAATGAGTAATCTTTTATCGTCCATCAAATGTTCGACTCTATGAAAGTCCTAGGATAAATAGGTAGTAGCCTACTGCCTATGTGCTTTTCACCAGCTCTCTATTTGCCAGTAAACCCTCATAATATCGAATAGACTATCTTAAAGGTCGAAGAGATAGACAATTTCATCCTTTGTATTGTTTTAGCTTTGATCGTCGATAAATAGCCATTTAAGTTCAATATAATAGGGGATTATTGTTATTAGTAGGTATGTCTTCTTATATTATGGTAGCTAATTTTAATTAATGTTTTAATGAAATTTTAAGAAAACCTTACCAATACCGATCCCCAACCAAGGAACGTGATATTACTATCAGTTGGTACCAATTTGTCTGTCGAATAATCTATTTCTGACACTTTAACTTTTTTGTCGCTGGTTATTTTCTTGTGTACTCTTAGTACTGCAAAATTAAACTCCAAGGTTTCAGGTTTATAGTTCGGATGGAAGAAGATCTCTGTCACTTTATATAGTTCCCCGCCGGCGGTCGCGTTTGAAGAACCCACTCGAATACTCAGCATTTTCACGTACTCTCGGAAGAATCGGTTGTTATATTGTCTATGGATAAGTAATTTATATTTTTTTCTCCCATAATTAAAAAGGATAATGATGAAAGTTAAGCAAGCTTATGAAAAGTAGGTACATAAATGTAATCGTAATAAATACACGTATATGCTCCTATATGGAATGGGATCCGTCAACCATAGGTAATGCTAGCATGTCCAAAGAAAGAGGACCATAACCTTTTTTTTGGACAGGGCACAATATCCTAATATTGAATTTATTGACTACTGGTGTCTCATCCTTGCTTCGCTTCGGGTTCCTCCCTAGACAAAAATAACTCTATCTCACGGGAACCGTATTTTTTTCCGGGATAAAAAGCTACTTATGTGCTATTTCAGACTATAATCTATCTCTGTGCCAAATTTTATCTAGATCCGTTGAGCGGTTCTGGTGTGAAGGAATAACAAACATCCATCCATCCATCCTCACAAACTTTCACATTTATAATATTAGTATGGAAGTGGTGAAGCTTGGAGTTGGACACAACGTGGGTGCCTTATCACCTCCAGGTAAATTTCAAAAAAATAAATTAAATTTCTAAGAAATCTATTGTTAACTGTAACGTCGGCTTGTCCGTGGTCGTTGAGGGATTAAGATTATATTTAAATAGTGACTTTAATAATAACAATATTTTTTTATATTTTCTTATAATATTTAGTCCTAGCATTGCCCGCGGTTCCGCCCGCAGTCAGATGACCAAAAACCAAATTCTTAAGTTTTACATATTAGTATAAGTACTCTTACAATGCAGTTTTTGTATTTTTTCTCAGTAATGAGATATTTTAACAGACAGACAGACAAAAATTCTAAAAACTATAGATTCGGACTCTGTATCGATAATAATGTTTATTTCAATAAGATTTTCCAAAGAATATTTTGATGTACCTACAGATTCGAATTAGTTACAAATTTATTATATGTATAGATTATATACCTAATATTCTTCTTTCCGACTAACTACCGTAGTGGTGACAAAAACAGAAGAAATCAAAATCTTTAGTTCTAATCCTGCGTTCAGATCGATATGCAGCTGCATAAACTGGCCTTTTCATTTTTAACTTAATTTTTTTTTGCTATGAAATCGTAAAGACACATCGAGTCGATATAATCGATAAGATCGAGAGTACCATCGTAGACAATCCATCCGATTGCGATGAAACTTTATTGTCTAGTTATGTTATTAGTCTCAATTCAGTATGCGTACTTTATGTTCAGAAGATATGATTCTATGAACAATATAAAAGAGTTCTCTTACAATTGCAAACAATGCGCAGCAGTCAATATCGTGTCCGAGCTGATGATGGCTCCTCCACACCAGAGCTGCTTGTTCACCAGCAAGGCCGCGAGGAAAGGGTAGTCCTCGATGTAGCCGATTTCGTCAGCGTTGTAGATACGGCGGTAGCGGCGGTCGAGGGGCGGGTCCAGAGGGGGTTCCGTTGCTGATTATTAGATATAACCCAAAATTAAATTAAATGTTGTAGTGATGATGGGTGAGACTGTTTTTGTTTTTTACCCAAATCAACCCAGTACATATAGATACCTCATCTCATACAAATAAATTGGACAGTGCTTATTCGGGCTATTTTTGTTTGCTATTGGTTGGTTTGGTATTGCGAGTATGTTATTTGTATATTTGTTTGTATCCACCAATTGCTGACCAAACTTACGTTGGCTAAAATAATTATATTTATAACTTACTGGTAGACGTAGTAGTTTTCTCTACGTTATAACTCTTTCGGTACGGCAGCTCTATGTGTATGCCCTCGTACTGCCACTCTCTGTTCATGCTCTTACGTACAATGTGCTCTCGTTCCACTGAAGCGATAGATACATATGTAGTTTACCTTTTTTTGTTTTGTTTTGCAATTACTTGTAATAGTTTACCTTATAATAGTTTGAATTTGTACAAAATATAAGATTACAGGTTCGATTGTAGCATGAGACGGAGATTGTGTATATAAATAAAAATTTCTTTTTAAGTTGATCATCTTTACGTTCCTAAATCATTAAATTGATTGAGATGATACTATAGAGGTTCTTCTGCGTATGCAGTATGCATGAGTAAGTAGTTAAAAATAGAATTTAATATCTCATATTACATTTAAATCTCAAATTCTAAATTTCTAAACATAATTATGTCCTACTATAAATTATATGATATACTATATTATTCCTTGGATTTGTTATGTTTTCTAAAAAATTACTTACTGTCATCAGACTCAGTTTTCTCTGAGTTTCTCTCTTGATGAGCATACACCAAGGCAATTGATATCTTGCTTGTTATAAAAACTATTAATATTTTGTATAGAAACATTATTTTTAGTAACAAAAACTTGTATTGGTACACGATTTTTCGCAATAAAAAGGAATAGAAGTAATTTATTTCTTTAACATTTTTGATGTGTAATAAAATATTGGTCGTTTTATTTGAGCATTTTTACGATTATATTAGGATATTTTCAGGATTCCGCATATTTGGTGTACTTCTAAATCGAAATTTGTATGACATTACTTCACACAATTAGGCAAAGTTTCTCTAACTGTACCTACCTACTAACTATATCGAAAAAGTTCAACTTCTGTCCCTAATACAGAATTAGGTGATACTCTATCATGTAGTAAATAATTGATTTGCTATCATCTTTCTACTAAATTAAGCTATAAAGACCAGTCCACAAGTAAAATAGATTAAAGATTCATTATATACTTGTTACTTTCATTTTTTTTGGTGTCGGACATCAAGCGTAACCTTAAATCTACATTGCCTTCATATCAATTATTTAAAGTATTTAGGTATGACTGGTCAATCTCATATCTTCTTGACACAAAGACTCAATAACTAAACTTGGCCCGAACCGGGACTTGAACCCAGCAACACCAAGGAGGCAGTTAAGTATTTATAAGTAGTATTCATTTTATAGGTTATATTAGTAGGTATATTTGAAAAATAAAACAAATCAGCCGTAAGCATTTTATTGACAATGAAAATATACAGAAGTGTATCGAAACAATTAAGCCCAAAGGGGTTTTACAATGGAAACTACTGGGACTTTGACGACAGGTTGTATAAGTGGCTTTATGGGGGTCAAGACGATGGAGGAGACCCGCGGGATAGTGATGCCATGGTTGATGAAGACGGATCTAGCTTCAACTGGTGCTAGGGCTGTAAGAAAGGCAATCTTCAGAACGCTTATCGTTACGTGCAGTAGGTGGTAACTACCGAGAGAACCGCTTCAGTCGAGCTCTCTTCAAACTCCCCTTCACTGCAATGGGAGGGTTTTTGTCAGTTTCTCAACTCATTTTTCAGCAATGTTTGTATTTTGTGCAATATAAGTGACAACCTTAGGGTTTGGCCGCGCGTTTCTATTTAATTCCTATTTGAGCCCAGTGCAGCCCGCGCTTTATACTATAGTTCGTAAGCTTTCGACCGATTGAAATGATAATAATTGACTCTTTAATTATTATAATTATAACTTTAGCATAAAATTTAATGAATATTGGAATAAATGTTTCTATACTTAATAAGACAAAGAGAAAGACAGACTTAAAAATGTACATTTTAAATAGCTCTCCGTGAATCGTGATTTGGTCTCTATAACTTGAAATCACTTTAGGCATGTGTTTCAAATTCTCCACCAACGACTATGAATACCTATCATTACGTTCTATTCATTGTTCTGTATGATAAAAATAGTTTACGTTTTTAATCAAGATATGATTAGGGTATCAGAGTTTAATTCAAATTGTTTCTGCTTTAAAAAGTATGAAATTCACTCCTCGTTTCGCTCAGGTGCGTTCCAAGGTATAGTAATAAAAGCCTATGTATTACTCCAGGTCAAAGACTATCTGTGTACTAAATTTCATCCAAATCTGTCCAATTGTTTTATCGTGAAGGAGTAACAAGCAACACACGCAAACTTTCACATTTACGAGGCTTGTGTTATGAATACGAAGATAGTTGATACACTACACATATATTACTTTATATACATACATATTATAATTATAAACACCCATGACTGTAGTACAAACATTCGTGTTCATCAGACAAATGAATGCCCCCAGCGGGACTCGAACCCGCGACTGCTGGCACAGCAAGTAGGATCAATACAAATTGAGCCAAACGTGTCGTCACAATACTATAACATTTCTATCAGTAGTCTGATTAGTGAGGTACTAAATTCATAAAGAGCTAGGTTACCTAGGCCACCTATTCCTGACGGCGCGGGGTGAGCGAGCGACAAGCCGATGAGAGCAAGAACAATAGCCACCTGCCAATATAAAATATTATTTTCAAGTTGATTAAGAATTCAAATAAAAATCTTTTCGGATTTTTTCACGGATTTATTTTGATTTTTGGTTCCCGACGTTTCGAATGATTCACAGCAATCATGGTCACGGTAGAGTCTCTCCCAAAGGATGGTTTTATTTAAAATGTCAAATATTCGCGTAAATCTAAGAAAGGAATTGATTAGGAATATCCCTTATATTTATCTCATTATGGAACTCTTAAATAAAATTATTTTTACGGATAATTAAATAATAATCATTGGGAATAACAATTTTATCGCATCCCAATGACTGCAGTCTCTCTAGTGACCATGTTTTTTGTAATGTAAATCATTCGAGACGTCGGGAACAAGAAATCGAAATAAAATCTTTAGAAATCCGATAAAATAATTTATATAAATTAAAATGTCAAATATTCGCGTAAAGTTAGAAAGTTTTATTACGAAGCTTGTTTTTGTATGCGGGTCTGCTCGTGTACGTTTTCTAATATCCTTAGAAGTCAGAGATAGTATATAAACATTTTCTTAATATTAGTAAAAGAATTTTCAGAGATTATTCCTTACATACAAACAAACAAATTTTACCTCTTTTAACAGTGAAAGATTAGTTATATCGGGGACATAGATGTTATATAAACTTTAAAAGTTTTTATTTTTATATTTTAAGTGTACACGTAATAAGCAGGTAATTTGTAGGAAGAAAGTTTTTAATAACATATTCGATTAAACAATTTGTTTAAAAAATATATTTATTGTTGATTTTTTTAAAACCGCTCGACCGATTTCGATAAAATTTATATGGGACCACCTGGGAAGTATACCCTTTCAAACAAAAAAAAATCCAAATCGGTTCAGGCGTCTTCGAGTAATCGGTGAACATACAAAAAGAAAAAGATTCCGACGAATTGAGAACCTCCTCGTTTTTGAAAGTCGGTTAACAAATAGAAACTCTGGTTTAATTATAACATCTTTAAACACACGACACGGACCTAAAAATATATTTTCCCTAAAAAATAAAAAATATCCCTATCAGTAATTATTTCGCCCGTGATTTTTTTTTAAATTTATATAAAACCACCCTCGAGGCTTAACCGATTTTTTAAAACAATTATATTAAAATACGTAGGTTAATAAAATCATTGCACTTACTGGAAATTAACACCTCACTTTTTTAAAACGATTGTTGATTTATTAACCGACTTCAAACACCAAGGAATATTTTCAAAAAATATTAATTGTTTTCTTAATCATATTTTCTTTTAATTTGTTATATCTTAGAAATAAAATTAAATAATAAATTTCATAAAATACTCACAGCACACTTCATATTTGATTCTCGTGTCCACTGAAATTATTAAAATGATCAGATTTCACTTCGATGCCTTATATAGACTTGCTAAACACTTTACGCATGGATAAACGAACATCCCGACAAAGTTATTACTTCATTTTGTAGAATTATAATCTAATAAGTAATGAGTAAGTACAGATAAATTTTTTTATTTATTAATGTTTATTTTAGCACTATTATTTATAAAATACAACATAAGCAATTTGCTACTAGGTGTGTGTGTGTACTTAAATAAATAAAAGGAAAACCAACAACATTATAAAATAAGTCCAAATTCGAAGGTTTTAATATTATTAGCCACTGAAGAGTTCCATCTTCTTCTATCTATCACCTTCTTACATGATACTACACATCAGCTCAATTGCATCAAATTATTGTATTTTTCTATAACTAGCGACTCACTTCACTCCGCTCGGGTTCACGCTTAGTTACGTTTTTACGGTTAGTCTTAGATTATATGACATATAAACAATCTAAGCGGTTAGTATAGATTACTGTGAGATGAGATATTTTAACGCAGTAAAAAGTATCCTAAATGTCGACCCGGATGACCATCTATCATCATATCAAATTTCATCAAAATGGTGTTCAGTGGTTTTCTCGTGATGCGTTCCCAGACAGACAAACAGACAAATATTCTTAGAACTGTAGATTCTGCATCGATAATAATGTTTATTTCAATAAGATTTTCCAAAAAATATTTAATGTACAGATTCAACTTAGTTAGAATTTTATTATACGTAGATATAGATACCTATACATAGATAATGTTTCAAATCTATACAACAGTTAACTTTGAGTTCGAACACTCGAAGATTAGACTACGTAGTGATAAGAAAATGGTGGATAGGAATAATATATACCTAGATTTGATCAAATGATCTTAGTGGCTAATTCGAAAATCTCACATGCTCTTACCCAGGAACCGGTTTAAAAAAACGGTTTATTTCGGTAATGTACTAATGGTTAATTCATCGTTCGTTCTTTAACTGGTTAACGAAAACAAACGGTTTAGTAAACTATTTAGTTTTTCTTAGAGAAAGGTTGGATTTCGGTTTTGATACCGAAATAAGCTGGTTATTTCATTCATAAGTAAAAAAACGTGCACGCATCCATTCATCATTAACAAAGACGCGCCAAATGTTAACACACTAAAACTCATTTTAACCCGTTAATTTTGTTCATGGAACCTAAATTTGTCAAAAACCGTTCTCCCAAATGGGTAAAGAACGAAACCTTAAACTGAAAAGCCTTTCGGTTTGGGCTCAATGACCAATACCGGTTTAAAAATGCCTTACCATACTCTACTGCTCTTACCATATTATAACAATACAGTTCTTTATAGGATCCAAATAAAAATATAAGTAACAAGCCAAGCAAGTTTATTTACCATAATTCAAACAAATTTTACTTCTAAAATATTTGTTATAATAACAAAAAGATCAATTCCATAAAATAAATATGCGTCTTGTGACTTTTTTCAGCGATGCATGTTACTGAAAGAAAAAAGTTCATCGATCAGTCATACGAAATTTCGAGTATATACAAATAAGTATCTATTATACCGGGGTTTCTGGGAATTTGTACAAAATCAGACAGCTAAGTTAAATGTACATATATGTATATTAAGATAGAAGGTGTAATAAACAAAGTTTTGCATTTATAACATACATGTACATGTGTATAATGTATATACATGTATTCAGCCCTTTTCAACGTCCTACTGCTGCCCTCAATTTAAAGGGGATCAGGCCATAGTCCACCATGCTGGACAAGTGCGGGTTGGCGGACTTAACATGTCTTTTGAAAACTTGTTAGGTTCTCTAAGACACGCAGGTTTCCTCACGATCTTTTCCTTCGTCGTAAGACAAATGTAATCATGTTGGAAATGATTCGCACATGGAAATACCAGAGGTCGAGACCCGGGATTTGAACCTGCTTCACTCGGTCTCCCAAGCGAGCGCGTTACCACTGGGTTACCACTGGTGCCACATACATATTATATTTATATTATTACAAATTCATATATTATTATAATATTTATAACTTGATTCAAATCAAATTATCTTATCCTCGTATACCTTCCAACGATCATTATCGTAGTCCCATAAGGAGGAGATGCCATCGATGGGATTCACTCGTAGCTCCAGCATCCTACGTAGTTGGGCCTTCTGGGAGGCTTCAGAGAACGAACACGGCAGCGGTTCATACACTGATAAAATAAAAATTTTCAAAGTATAACTACACATCTACGACGACACGTTTGGCTCAGTTTGTAGTGACCATACTTGCTGTTCATTCACTTGTGTGATAAGCACGAATGGGTGTACTCCAGTCATGGGTCTTTATATTTATAATATTTAAAAGTTGTATATGTGTATAAGTGTATCAACTATCTGGTATCCATAACACAGGCCTCGTAGCTTACCATGGAACTAAATGGTGCTGTGTGTTAAATATTAATGTCCCTACATATTTATTTATTTATTTAACTCGATTGTGATGAATAGGAGTAGAAAAGATATTTCGCCAAATTTCACCTAATTCCCGTTAATTTATAAAGAACTTCATATTTACTAATAAATCGTCAATCAAATGATTATAATTAATGACATTTTATCTGTTTCATAACGTGCTCGCGGTACCCGCGGCTTCGCCTGCGTTCTAACTACCGATCGTTACCAAACTTCACGAATCATACGCTGAGCTAATATGAAGATTGCCCGAAAATTTCATCAAAGTCGCTCCAGCCGCTTCGGAGACCATAGGAAACTTACATACACAAATCGATTTTTATATTCTAGATAAATAGATGATATAAATAAATATATTAACAATGTTTTGATTGATTTCTGCCACGTAGGCTAATCTCAGTGAAACTAGCGAACTGGATAGAAGTTATTATAATGCAATTCGTTAACTGTGTGTGCATTAAACGTACACTCTATTGTCACTCGCACTCTGTTTAATCCGATGACGATTTGACGTGATCAATGAGAGATTAGGATCAATGCGATACGTGCTCTATACGGCACAGGATAGTAAAAATATAGGAAATTTTATAGAATATCATACCGTAGTGGTGAAAAAACATAGCAGCCCAAAAACCAAAGGAAGTAGTTATAAACACCCAGCCCATGATGAACTTCCATTGTCCAGTGGGGGCCTTGAACTCCGCAAATGTCTGGCAGAAGGACGCGCGGTAGAGGGCCTTCTTCTCTTCACAGCTGAGGCAACGCCAATCACACCTCTCTTTTTCCCGAAGAGCCTACATATAGAACCTACTTTTAGAACTTTTTAAACAATATAAAATCTAAATTCCTAAATTACTACACTACTAATAAAGAGTAACTAAATTTTTGTTAAAAGACAGTTTCTAATATTTTTATTAAAAGACATTTTGATTTCGCTGTGACTGTGGGATCGAAATGTGTGCCAGTACTTGTTTATGTTTTTATATGAAAAGTGCTAAGCTACAATAGATTTCAATGATAACGAAAAATAAAAATATTTTTCGATATAGTTAGCAAAATATAAAACATTTGGTTTTAAGAGTTGGAAGGTTAGGCTGATTAATTTTTTCTTGTTCATAGAGACTTGCGTATAAATATGTTAATAGCTCGGAAGGTGAGAATTGTTTGTATTATTAATGCCAGAAACATCCTTATTTTAAAAATCTCATCTTGCTGGAAAGTTTAAGATTGTTTCCTCTTTTTTCTTGAGTTTCTTGAATATGAAAATCTTTCTATACTTTAGGGAACTGCACTTCATCTCTGGAGTAACAAAACTAAATAATTCGTTCGTAACTCGATTAGAGGCTTGACTTTGGTTTTAAAATCTAAACATATGTTGGTTAAATACTAACACATATGTCCCTTGTGTTTTCCTTAAATCTCACAGCTGGAAAAGGAAAGTGGGCATCGTCCTGGTAGTTAGCAGACCCATTAATCCCATGCCCCACTACATCCCTACAACCAATTCTGGAGAAACCATACACTGTTCTGATACTTTGTATCCATGGGGTGGAGGGTTTTAAGAACATTTCGTTAGTTGTAGTGCTCTGAATACCTAGTTGTTTGAAAGGTGTCAGAGTTGACGTTTTTATAAAATGTTTACGCAACATCTAAATAGTATGCATATATATCCGTCTAATATGTATATTCTTTTGTTTGAAAACGAAATATTTATAATGCTGGAGGTAATTTAGTTCATTTTTTATACCGGTGGTATTGAAATAGAACACGGAAGTATTACTTCAGGCCAGACAAAAACAGAGCTGATTTTTCTTTACTATGAGGTGACAAAATCTATAAATATAATAAAATTCTAATTAAGCCGAATCTGTCTGTACATTAAATATTTTTTTGGAAAATCTTATTGAAATAGACATTATTATCGATAGGGAGGCCGATTTTATAGTTTTTAGAATTTTTGTCTGTCTGTCCGTCGGGCTTTCTGTCTGTCTATGACCGTATCACGGAAAAGCCACTGGAGGGATTTTGATGAAATTTGGTATGATGATAGCTGGTTATTCGGGTCAAGGAGGATACTTTTTACTGCGGGAAAATATCTTATCTCTGAAAAATCTATTCTAAAAAGTCTCTATCTCTGAAAAGTCTTTTGGCTGGAAGTTTAAAGGGAAACTAAATAACGATGAGATACAAAAGTTCACATTAAATAGTTATACTTTGTTTATTTTACGTGTGCTTTTATAATTAAACATACATTATACTATATTAAAAATTATAATTGTGTTTCATTTGTTTAATATTAGATTTACGAAATTGTCTTTGAGTTATCTTTCGTGGAATTTTTTGAATGAAATTTTTGAATTTTTGATTTGCATTAGCCTTTACTTTGTCTTGTGACTTCTTCATGTAATTATTTTCAATCAATTTCTCTTTTGTCGTTATTTGTCTAATTTCATTGTGTTTGTGTAAAAAAATATTATCTTCTTCATGTAAGTCTTTATTAAGATCTTCTATTTCAATGCTTAGTTCTTCAGTATATTCACTTTCCGAGCTTAAACTTATAGATTCATAGTTTTCCGGTAGTTTGTAATTTATAATATTCTTATCATTTGCATCAACCTTTTTGTTAATAAGCTTAACATCTTTATTATTAATACTAGGATTGTGCATTCTTTTAATTTTATTGTCTTTTATAAGTATTGTGATATTCGTCTCATCGTTCATCTTTGGTGACTTGTTTTTTATTTCACTATATCGTATAGAACTATGGCTAGTATTATTTATAATATCCTTTAATAATTTCTTGCTCTGTGATAGTAATGCATTTCTTATTATTTGAATTTTTATGGGGTATTTTTTAATATCTTCGTCTGGATGTCCTAAAAAACCACCAAATGATTTTTTCTTTGTTGTAGGCACTGTTACTGATAATGTCGCGTTTTGGTTAAATTCTGTATGTTGCAAAATTGTAGAAGTTTCCTGGAAGAAGATAAAAATGAAAACTTTATCCTACACTTATCTAAATATTGCAAAATAGATGTTCTAACATATTCAGAAATTATCTTTTGTACAGATGCTACAAACATCAGCTGTAAAAAGCCTTCTTATTAATTACCTAGGAATTATCTATAGTTTAAGTAATTTTATTTAACACATAATGAATAAAATTTTAAATTTGTGTTTGAAAAGCTAATATTGCACTGGAGCTACTTGGTATACCGCGATATATGTAGGCCATCTCTATGTTAAATGTCTGCTGCTATCTTAGACTAATACAGTTTTGTTAATAGAATAGCTCTAATGATCTACGTCTAGTGGCTAGCATGTACTGCTGCAGTTCCGTTAAGTGCAGTGAAGCTATTGGGATTTTCTGTCAAGAAATTCTCAGTGGCGGCCCGGAATTGAGAAATTTGTCATATAATATCCCCCGTGTCGACACGAAGCAAGTACAATGCACGTAAACCCGTAATTCCTGAGCCTTATTTCCCTCAGAGGGTCCTTTCGACTTGTCGTCTAATTGGATTTTCAGATTGAAAGGAAATGAGTGCTTTTACTTCTGCAAACACGAACATATCCAGTATATTTGCCTTATATTATATCATGCGCAGTTGCACTAAGCTAGTGAAATTGGCCACCGTGATAGAAATCGGTACGTTACCATATATAGAAGGACAAACCAAGTTTTACGTTTTTGATACACTATAAATATTAGAAAAATTTACATGTCTTTTAATGTGTACCTTTCGTATAACTCTTTGTATCCCATTGGATATTTTTTTTGAATAGCAACTTAGTTTTATAAACACAGTGGGTGAACTGTTCGCATGACATCTCAAGGGACCGAAATTTATCATTCCAACAAGTTTGCCATCTACTATAGCTGGTCCTCCAATGTCACCCTAGGACATAGATATAGGAACAGATGATGACATGCGTCTAGAAAAATACTATACTGATATACTCGTATCTATTAAGTAGAAGTTTGCCTTTATGTTTAAATATTTTTTTTAATTTTTAAGAAAAGACTTCTTGCTAAGTTTCTTTTGCAACTTCTTGGACGAATACTATGAAAGTATAATTTTTTTTGTTAAGAAAAGTAACGGATTTTTTAAAAATTGTTTTAGTTTAATTTAGTCTAAGAACTTTTACAAAAAAGGAAAGTTTTTCGGATTTATTCTGTACAAAATATTAAAATTAATTACGAAAATAACCAAAAATAGTTTTAATACCAATGTCAATCACTAAATTTTTTTATTTCACACAGTAGGTACCTACATTTTTCATAAACGAAGGAATGTAATTATACTTACATTACAGCTTTTATTCGCAGCAAAACTTGCACAAAAATTTGATCCTACAATATATTTGCTAGAAAATTAACTAAATTAGTCATGGTTATTAAAAATTGACAATTGGAAAAAAATATCTTTTCCTACCTCGAGTAGAGTTCCTTGCATTTTTCAAGATTGAAGATGTTTAACTTTTTGTAAGATAACTTTTTATTGAGAACTTGACTCTGTTTTGCCTGAAATCTTTACTTATGTTATAATATACGAAAGCGTATTTGTTTTATGAATTTCATTTACATAGCAAAGGAGCAATGGATTCACAGATATCTACTCTAAATCTATAAACGGATCGATGTGGACTGATGCACTTTTAGGAAAATACTTATTATAAACATTAAGTAAGATAATATTTCTACAAAATAGCCAGATCAATTGAACTCGAAAAATGAAGAAAAGAACTTGTTTCTTCGAGTGCTAAAGATCTAGCAGTAAAATTCATACATTTGATAGATGCTACAATATCGAGACTTACACTCATAGTACCCCATCCTAAAACTACAACATGTTTTGTATTTCCAAGTAAACTTTGTGATTTCTTATCAAAATCAATTCTTCGTAAAGTTCTGTTACGTCTAAAATACATGTGTTTCTCCATTTTTAGGATAACCAAGTTATTCTTGAAATACGCAGGATCGTATTGAGGATGAAAAAATATTGTAATTATTTGTATAACTTCGCCGAATTTACCAATGTAATTACTTCCCAATCTTATAGAGACTGATGGGAGATGATCCGGTAAAAATCGATTTTGATATACTCTATAAAGAAAAATTAAATTTACTTTTACTCTATGTGGATATAGGTATATGTATACGATGTGTACCGTGGGTTTTTATTACTGTTAATCTAATTTAAAATACAATGTTCCTCTGACCTAATTTCCGTCATGCGATTGTGTAATAACACCAATTTCATAGTTTTGGAAATGTTGACATGGGCTGGAACAACCTAACTGCGTTGGCCTATCTCGGCGCCTGAACCCAGAACCTTATGATCTACAGCCATGTAGAATGAGCTACCTCATATTCATACATATTTTTAATAAGTATAGATTGCATGAAAACATTTACACGCTGATTAAGTACATATTCTCTAGTATCTTTTAATATATAAAACTTCTGACTAACCTCTGCAAGCATGCCGCAGCAGATATCACCAAATTTTTACTGATTATGGAACCAGCACAAATGAACTCTCCTTGTACATTAATGCTAACTAGGAACGGATATTTTGTTATAGTTGTTGTTTTAGCAAAATTTCTTCTAGATGCTATATTATGTCCTCCTTTTGGCCCTAAAACAATTGTAATCTACAACTTTATAATATTGACGTATTTTTTTATTTTTTTTTAAATATGTATAATGTATATCTTTTGGTTAATAAAGTAATTATTTCTGTTTAAGCACAAAATTGGGGTAACAAAGCTTTTAAATAATACTTTCTTAGATTTACGCGAATATTTGACATTTTAAATTATAATCTTTTCGGATTTTTTCGCGGATGTATTTTGATTTTTGGTTCCCGACGTATTTGGTTCGAATGATTTACAGCAATCGTGGTTACGGAAGAGACTAAGGTTTAGGATGTCTCAAAGGTATTATATAGTTGTTACAGACAGCCTACCCACAAAAGCTTTTAAAATATATAAAAAGTTGAGCTCAGTAAAATAATTTTGTCTGAGAATAATATTCATAGGAATATTTTTAACAGAACTTATTCATCTCAAATAACTTACGCCATGACTTTAGATCGTAATATTTTTTCAACAACTGTGTCGTTGAATTAAAACTGTCTATTTTCTTATCTGTAAAGTCTTCTAGAGTGAGATTATCAATTTTTTTTACAAATTCGTTAAAAAATGTTAGAGATTCAAAAGATTCATCTTTCTTAACTATTTCTATGGTTAATTTATCTTCAGGTGTCTCACTGTTACTCATTAAATGTGAACTCAATTTAGTAATACTTTCCAAGGTGTTATCTATAACTAAATTATAATTGATGTTTTCTATTTCATTGTCTTCAATCTTATTTATTATATCAATTACATTAAGCACAGAATTAGCCATTTTTTCGTTTTCATATATTTCAAAGAATAACTTTGTCATTTCATAAATTTTCATATTTGTTTCATGTATATTTCGCAATTTATAATATGATTTTAACAAATACTGATTATCATTAGAATTTTGAAATTTTTTGAGTCCAAATAAATGAAAAAGTTTGTTTGTTATAAATTCAATTGCATCATTTGTTTTGTGAACAATGTTATTTCGTATGTTTTTCATTTTCCCGCAATTATGCTCTGTGATACCATATAAAAATAGATACAAAATTTGTAAGTAAATTCTCATTATTTATTTAAAAATAATATATTTTAAGGTACTATAACAAAATTGGAAACTTAAATATTCATATTATAATGTGGAAGCTATAAATAATAAATAGTTTTTTCCAATGCCATATATAAATATAAAGTATCCATAAAATGTTGTAACACTTTTCACCTTTTAGAAATAAAAATAATTTTAGACGTACATTTTTATTACAACTAAATATTTCATTTTCATACACACATATAAAACGAAATGTTTTTTAAAGTATCTGATGCATTTTTTATTATTGTTGGCTGCTCGGTTTTAATTTATCTAAACTTGGTCCTCTCTCTTGTCGAAGACAGTAATGTACTGACCAGAGAAACGATTATACCACGAACGATAAATGAACTTTTTTCCATTCTCAAATTAAGTGAATTAGACGAAAAATCAAGATTTAAGGAATATACTGCGTTACTGGAATACTTCATCTCTTTATCACTTCAAGGTGAAAATAATTTAGAAGAAATAATTCGACTCAGTAAAATGAAAGAAAACAGTAACAATAACAGTGAATTTATAGCTACTATACATTATGTATTTAAAGAGAATTCAAATTTTACGGACAATAAAGTAGTAGATTACGACGACGTCTATATAAAAAGTTATATAGACACTTTTTTAAGCAATCTTCAGGATTTAAAGGAAGAATTCAATATTCATGAAAATTATGTTGGTATAAATAGGGAGATTGTCGACTTGCTCTATAAAGATAATGAAAAATTATTGAACGATTTGAATGAAAATGAATTTAATGTGACTGAATCTGATAAGGGTAATATTGATGAGAATGAGTTTTGGGGTAAATTCAATTGTTATAAGCCCGTACTTATTTTTCATGTGCATATAATGAAATCTAACTTGATTTTTTCGTTTTAGAACAAAGCGGTCGTAGAATATTTAAAGGAGAAAGAAGCAAAATTAAGCATTTTCCATTTATGGCATCTGTTCAGATATTCAATAACTTCCATTGCGCAGGGTCTATCATCAAATCTGATCTTATTATCACTGCTTCATCTTGTTTACAATTGTACATTTTTCCTTAACATTCATTATTTTTTGGCCTTTGAGATAGATGGTAATGATTATGTTTTAATTTTTAGAGCTTGGAACAACCGATTCTTTCGTGAAAATCCAGCATTTCTAACAGTTCGTGTTGGTAGCAGCTTTTACAATAGTGGTGGAGAAGTTATACCGATTCTTGAAATCTATTTCCACCCTGAGTACGATCCTAAATCATTAAAAAATAATATTTGTTTGCTTCGACTTATCCGACATTTAAAGTTTAAAACGAGGATTAGGAAAATCAAAAAGATTGACTTCGATAGAAATGGACATAATCTTGCTTCAAATACTCCTGGCATTACTGTAGTCGGATGGGGGGCAAAATCGGTATGTTTACTGAATTTATTAAAACTTTAAACAGATTATTCTTTACATTCATTTATCAGACAATATACTATAAATATTATTTGTTATATTTTTAAATTCTATTTCACAGCACAGTCCAGTTATTGGTAATCCTTAGGAAAACATAATATCTTACGCCGTGCTAGACGTATACCCATTAAAAGATTGTCAAGATATATATCTAAAGTAGGTAATACTTATTACTACCTAGTTAAGTATTTAATAAAATTTAACGATAACGAGTTTAGATTAAATAACTTTTGAGACGCTTAATAAGAATATTCCAATTAATGGCTTTATTGTATTATTATTGAGTAATTTATCTTTTATCCAATGATAATTATTTGAAACTTGGCCAAACTTTAAGTTTTCATTTCGTGCGGTCTAGTGGTGTTCCGTAGACTGTGAAAAAAAAGATACAAAAGCATACGCCTTTGTATTAACAGTCAGTAACTGCTAAACATAAAATATGTTTCAAATAATAATTCACTTATACGTACCTATTCCTATTTATTTTTCAGAGAATATGTATCAAATAAGCATTTCTGCGCTGGATTTATATCAAGAGGTGGTGGCGCTTGTAACGTATGTATGCACTTTTAAATTAAGTATTATACAATTTAATAATGAAAATGGACAAAAATATATAAGTCGAAGTAGTTGGGAAAAAATATTTGCAAATCATGAAATTAATATTTCAGAGAGACGTTGGCGGTCCGGGTATATCTGACGGAAAATTAATGGGAGTCATAAGTTTCGGCTCACCAGTGTGTGGTATGCCTGACGCCCCCACAGTGTTTACCAAGTTAGGCTATTATGCAGACTGGATTGAACAAGTCATGGAGCAGGTTTACTTATGAATATCTTTATGGTTTATTAATATATAATAATAAAAACTCAAGCCTTTTAACGTCCCACACATGGGTGTGAGCGTCCCTTCGGCGCGCGTCGGATCAGGCTATATATCGCCATCACACAAGCCAAATGCGGGTTAGCAGAACATGTCTTTCAAAAACTTGTTATGTTCTCCTACACCTGCAGGCTTCCTTACAGTGTTTTTCTTCACTTTAATCAATTAATTACTAGTGGTCATATTGAAAAATGATTCGCACACGACAACTCAGAGGTGTAAGACCCAGGATAACCTATATTTTAGTTAAAATAAAAAGTCATAAATCTTGTACAAATATCATAAGTATTAATATGTACGTATTATTAACAGGATGTATCGACTTCAAAGAAAAGGATACCGCTTAAGCCTATTCAGGACCGCTACGAACTTTATAGTTCTAATATATCTTCTAAACCGACAACTTTTAAAATACCACCGATATCTTTCGACACTACGACACCAATACCAGTACCAATATCCAAAGTCGATAGTCAGCTTAGAATCATAGATGAGAATGTTTTTAAAGATTTTCTTAAAAGCATATTCAATAGTAAAGAAATAGAAGAGTATAAAGATATTCTTAAAGAAATTGGCAAGAAACCTGAAAAAATCTACGATAACCCTAAAATAGATGATGCTACTGAAACTCATGAGATTACGACTTTAGATGAATTTGATGAAACTTCGGGGGCAGAAGCTTATACGAAAATGGAAGAATTTTCGTCCGAACAAATGACTACTAAAAATAATGCGTATTCTATTATGAATAAAAACGTACCAGTAACAGAAATTTATGATAATGAAATTGCAAAACTTACGGCTAACGAAGATTTAGAGAAAATTGTTGAAGAAGAAATTGCTGAGCCTGATAAAGTCTCTTCTGAACAAAAACCTACCAATGAAAGTATTTTAACTTTATTGTATATACCAGATGAACATAAAAATGAAAATGAGAAACTAAGCTCTATAGAAAAAAATAACAAAGAAGTTCTTGATAATGAAGGAATGAGCATTGCAAGTGATAATTATAATTTTGACGATTTGACTAAGACTAAAGATAGTGACAATGTTTTACCGGAGACCGAATTATATGAATTGTTATCTGAAGTAATTGGTGAAGAAGTGAGAAATATGAATATTGATAACTTGTAATATTTTTTAAATTTTTTTTTTGAATAGTATTATTTACGTAATAAAATTATATCACAAAAAATTACTTATTACCTAACAAATAACAATATAATGCAGTTGAAATATTTTACTACTTAATATTGTACGCATACTCATCATATTGTATGCATGTACGGCTGCAGATCCGGAGGTTCCGGGTTCGAGTTCCCGGTGGGGCCAAGTTTTAATTACTGAGTTTTTTCTGTAACCTTCGCCTTAACTCTTACCGGTCATGTCGAAGTATCGTCCTATCAGATTTTGAGAGGCAAAAGAATAGAGAGTGCAATTGTATCTGCGCGTACACTTGTGCATTAGTGTGTGTGCATAATCTAATAATATTTCCTGCGCATCTGGCTAGTCTCAGTGAGATAGGTCATCGTGGCCAAAATCGGTCGAGAGGCAGGGCCGGTTTTACCTTAAGTGCCGCCCTGGGGTACCGTGAAAAATACCGCCCTATTACCTATATACTGCCTTACCTATATCTTACACTAGAGTCTCTAGGTACGTTTTCATTTTTTTGAACGGGACCCTAATTCTATACCCCATCCTAACCCTTATAACATCAGCTATCTGCCAGTGAAAGTCCCGTCAAAATCAGTCCAGCTGTTTAAAATGAATTTAGTAAAACCAAATCTGCTTTCTTTACGCACCCATGCTGTACGAAAGTATTTTTAGATTAAAGAATAAAATAACAACTATTTATTGAAAAAGGATATTATTTTAAATTTTTGAATAAGTAAATTGATGTTAATAAAAAAAATATGTACCTATTGTATGCTAGATTTCAAATCGTGAAGATCCAGTTCTTAAACTCAATATATAAAAATCTTTTTAAAATCGGTATAGAACCAATAACTCCTCATTTTTCAAAATCATGGATTTTCATAGTATAAAGTTAAAAAAATTTTTGCTCACACTCCAAATTTTGCCGCCCCTAAAAATTTGCCGCCCTGGGCACTAGCCCCGAGTGCTCCTAGTGTAAATTCAGGGCTGTCGAGAGGACATGATTATTATTATATGTATTTATACTCTCAAGTGATCTTATTTTAAATTTCATTTGATACGTGGATTTTACAAAAAAAAAGTAATTTTGTTTTATAGAGCAATGTACTCCAAAAGTTGAAGAGGTTCAAGACAAATAAAATGATCAAGAATAAAAATAATAATTTGCTATTTACAATTTACAAAGCTACTGAAAACTTTGAACGTGTTGTTTTATAATCTGTATTCATTGCGCAATGCTGTAATCTGTATTGATTTCTTCCACAGTCCACTAGAGGTCGCTGTTTTTCCAGTGTAGGGTGGTGCGACTAAATTTTAAGGTAAAGATCTCATAAAAACAAATAATTTATTTTCTTTGTAGCTGAATTTAGTGTACTTATAATATCTGCAGTTATTTTATTAATTTAGTGAATTATTTTATGATAAAAGGGTAAGTAAAACGTTCTCGCAAAGAATATGTCATCGTATCGAAATTCAAAATAAATACTTTATTCATTATTTTTCATTTGTTTCAATCATTATTGCAGTTAAATTTCTACATTAACTCGTTAATTATCAATTAATGTCATTTTCCTACAGTTACCGTACCTACAACGAATTTTTTTTTGTTATGTAACTTACGATCAATAGTTCTAACCTATTTTAAGTTATCAATAATTTTATCATTAGATCAACTTTGCTTGTTACAAATGCAGGTGGCGTGATATTCTTTATTTAAATTCTTATACAGTTCCTTTAAACGTAAAATTCCTGTTAATTTACTGAAATATTAGTTAAATGTCATATATAATTAAAAATATTTATTTGTCTTCACTTTATAATTATTAGCATATCTGTAGCACTTTATTCATCCATTTAATTAACTTTTCTAAACTTAGAGATCATTTATAAAATCTGATTACAATTTAATTATAAATGTTGTAAATAATGTGTCATAATTTTTAAGAATTGTTTACATCTTTATGACAGTATATTTTTATAATAAAAAATTGGTCCTAAGTAAATAAATGCATGCTGATAATATTAATGAAATAAAAATGTTTCAGATATGGCTAATTTTCTCCTACGTCGTGCACTGTTAGATGCAGTCCGCGTACCAGCTGGTACTCGGTGCATGAGTGAGCTTGCCAAGGTATTTTATTAATATTAAAAAAAAAACCTTGTACAATATATGTATAAATATTGTATAATATAGCATCTGTGATATTAAAGTTTAATGATGAGAAGAATTGTGATTGATTGAAGTGATAATACTTTATAACTAATTTGGATCTGTAAGTAGTTCTTTTTGTAAATTGAAATATCTAAGTAAAAGAAACAGAAATAAATGGTTATACTTAATGGTAAAAGAAGAAACAAAAAAAATAATGTTATGCGTAAATGTATGGTGTTAATAAATTAAATACTAGTATATTAAATAGAATATTATATATTGAGGCAGCATAATTATTTAAATTTGAAGTAATATTGTATAACTAAAAATAATAAAGAATAAAATAATTAGCACATAAATCTATATTTTTTTATATATACCATTTATGTCAACTCTACATAATTTATGTCAACTCTAGTAAATACTGAAAAATCAATAACATTATTATATTTTTTATTTTAGATTGGCAACCGTGAGTGGGTGGGCTATGGCTACAACGGCCAACCTAACTACGCAGATAGGCCTGACTTCCCCCTACCCGCTGTCAGGTTCCGTGCTGAGACACCTGACATCAAGGTAAGATGATTATGATTTAAAACTATATATAATTTATAAAGTACAATAACAAGATTATGAAGAAATCTCAGTTTAACAAGGAAGTTTTTGATACTAAACATAGTTTTTAATTTTGCCTTAATTATTTGATAAAATAAACACAGACAATATTGAACTTTTATGTATTTTAAATGGTGTTAACAAACATAGAGCTGTTCCAAATTATAAAACCACACAATTTACACTCTTCATCATTACTTAATTTCAGAATTATCAGTTTCGGTCCTATGATAATTTCCTTACATGAAATTTTAATAATATATTGGCTTCAAAGTATGCTAGTTGAGTATATCTATCCCATTCATTTTATGGGTGACATAACATATTACTTAACGATATAGGTAAATATTTCAAAATGAGTCTGTAATATAATACTTTCTTAGAGTTACGTGAATATATTTTATAAGTTTTAATTTGCAAGAAAATATTTTAAATAAAACCATCTTCTAGGTTTATTTTGCGGATTTATTTTGATTTTTGGTTCTCGACGTTTGAACGCTTTACAGCAATCATGGTCATGGGAGAGACTAAGGTTATAGACATCTCAAAGGTGTTATATACTTTTTTCAGAAATATTGTTATATACTTGTTTTGTTTTGTAAAATTGTGGGTAGGCACTGTCTGTTTCACTTCAACAACTTTTGAATGAGTTATTTCAACAATGAGTTATTTTTCAGGTTCTCCGTGAAAAAGAAAAGGGTGATTGGCGCAAACTGACCCTAGAAGAGAAGAAAGCCCTCTACCGGGCTTCCTTCTGCCAGACCTTTGCTGAGTTCCAAGCACCTACCGGAGAGTGGAAGGGCGTTCTCGGCTGGTCGCTGTGCCTCGCTTCATTATCTCTTTGGATCTACATGGCAATGAAGATGTTTGGTAAAATTTGCTTTAATAATAATGTGATTACTATTATATATGCAAAAGTTAGTGTACACACTAAATTTATGTATGTTTGTTAGTCTCTCAATCTGAAATGGCTGTGCTGATTTGGATAAAATTTAGTTTACAGAGAGGTTATGTCTTCGGATAACACATAAGCTATTGTAGGCCCCTAAACACACACCGACATGATTATGATTAATTGTAATATAGTTGTTTTAAATCTGAAGGTTTTATTAGTAGCCATCAAGACACAGTATTCTTTATATTATTCTCTATGTGAAGAAAGCCATGAACTCATGAATAAGAGACACTCGCTTTTATTTCTGACTTCTTTTCATCACACAAGTATTTCTGGCTGTCCATGAAAAAGAAAAGGATGACGAGGAATATGAAAAGGGATATGAGTAATTATATCTTTAAGACAGACATTTGCTCCCTTTATTTTTAAAAAAATCCTTTGTAACAAAAAAAAAACAGGTATTATATAAATAGTTACAGTATTTGGGCCAATATTTATCAACCTCTATGCAAATTACAACTTTAGAATAAATGAAAAATTATTTTTTGCTTTGTTTGTATCTCAATGTCACCTTAATGTATATTATTTTATTCCTGGATACTAATCTGTTAGTCCCAATTGATGAAAGTATAATTATCTAATATATAAATCTTTAATAAACAAAAAAATTGTATATTTGGTAGGTATGAGAATAGGTTGTTAAGTAATTTTCACCCTCCTACCCCCACCCCCCATTTTTTAATCGCAATTTTAGTATTTTTGTATGAACAGCATTATATATATATATATATATATATATATATATATATATATATATATATATATATATGTATATTGCTGTATAACTTAAAGCCAAAGAGTTTATGTAGATGGAACGTGGCCGTAGCCGCGGGTTCTGCGAGTAATTATATAGTTTATTATCATTCGGAACTGTTATTAAATGTTAATATATAACTTCCAGTGTACAGCCCGCTGCCGGACAGCTTTGACGAGGCGCACCAGAAGGCGCAGCTCCGGCGCATGCTGGACCTGAAGGTCAACCCCATAGATGGGCTCTCCTCCAAGTGGGACTACGAGAACAACCGCTGGAAGTAAACTGTATGTAAAACCAGTACATGTATGATACTTTTTTTTATATATATGCAAATGTTTGACATTTTAAATATAACTAATATTATTTTGATTTTTTTAAGGGTTTTTTTATTTTGAAAACCAAAAATCAAAATAAAAACGCAAAAAAATCCCAAAGGATAGTTTTATTTAAAAAGAATGTATGAATAATAATTTTTTTTTATTATTATTTTATTTATATTATAATGGAAAAGAGTTTGTATGTTTGTTGTGACATATGATTCCCAGCGAGTGAACAATATTAATATAGTTTTCGTAAAAGTACTGTAATAATGACCGTCAAAAATAAACATAAATGACAATACTACAGGTACAGATGATCCATCCCATATAAAACAATTTAGAGTCCAATTAAACAAGTTTCTGAAGTGAAACTTCTTTAGAATCGTTGTGCTTTGAAACTCGATGAAACGGAAATGCGACACTAAAAAGAGACTAACATAAATATATAGGTGTAAGCCAGCGAGAGAATGAGATAGAGTGCATTGCCATGTTGCCATGATAACCATTGTTATTATCTGACAAATATATAATATTATATTCTTTCCATATATCAAATTTTATAAATATATAATTGTAATATGCCTAATATGCCTTATTTAATTATCGATTTGTTTTAATTTAATTAATAAATAAATAATTTAAGAAATTGAGTAATAAGGGCACATGAATTTTGTATATTTTTTGAACTTACCCTCGCTTCACTTCGGTTCATCCCTAGCATGCTTCCCAATACAAACTTTCATCTCCATTTTTACACCCTTAAGCAATGATTTTCGAGATAAAAAGTATCCTATGTCCTTCCCAGCGTCTCAACTATCTTTCTTACCAAATCTCATCTAAATCGGTTCTGTAGATCCAGAGATTACCCCCAACAACGTCACAAACTTACAAACTTTACCTCTATAATAATAGTATAAGTATAGTAAAACACCGTATATCAGCGAGAACATAATACGTCACAATCTTAGTTTTAGAAGTGTGCTACAAGATGACGCTAATAGTTTTTATATTTTGATATTTACAACATTTATCAGCGCAAAAAAGTTATAAAGCAATAATTGGTTTTTATAGTTTTTATAGTATATTTGTATTGTTCCAGTATGGCGTCTCCCATGGTGCTTGCTGGGTGTCGCTGCTGGCGGTAGAGTAGACGGTGTTGATATTTGTAAATCTGTAAGATAATATAAATTAATGTGATTCCAAACAACACCTGTTTCATTTGAACCTCCACTTTATGTACATATATTATCATTGCTACTATATATAGATTCTAGCTATAGAGAAATGCAATGAAATCCTGCTAATATTTATGAACGCAAAAGTTTGTAAGCATATATCTTTGTTACTCTTTCATACAAAAACTACTGAACGGATTTTGATGAAACTTTACAGTATTATGACTTCAGAGTAGCACATTGGTTATAATTTTTAAAGATGTACTAATACCACAGGTCACATAATACTATATTAGTAATACATAATTTAAGAACGCGGGCAAAGCCGCGGCTAACGCTAGTATGTATATATAAAAAATAATTTGCATTTTTTAAACAAAAAATTATTGTTAGACTTCTTAAACGTAATAATACATAACTCGTGTAATGTTAACAATGCCATTAACGAATATGCAGACCACAGTTATCCAATTGATTTGTAATTAATGTATCAGTAAAATTAATAGAATTGAATTTAAGAACGCATTTTTTATTCTATTTATATAAAATTTAAAAAAAATTCGTTTTAACGTTTAGTATAGATTTCTAGAACATGATATATTTTTCCGCAGTAAAATTTATCCTGTATGTTGACCCGGATAACCAGCTATCATCATACCAAATTTCATCAAACTCTATCCAGTGGTTTCCTCGTGATGCGTTCCCAGACAGAGAGACATACATACAGACAATTGAACAAACTAGATTCGGCTTCTGAATCGATAATACTTCAAAAATATATCCAATATACAATTTCGACTCGGTTAGAATTTTATTATATGTATAAATTTATAAGAGCAGAATATAATAAATAATTTATTGGGATCTATGTATTTTCTTTCTAATAATATTGTTCACATCAATAACAAATCGTTGGATACAACGCTATCTATTCTCATTTATTTGAACTATTTTTATGTTCCTGATGAAGAATATGGGTAATATTATACTATTATATAATTAAAAGTAAATTAACAATAATTATTTTGAATTTATAAGCAAAATAGCTTTTTTTAATTTATTACAATCGTTAACTCCGGTTTAAAGGCAGTGTAAATGAAACTGGAATCAAAATATATAAATTATGATGTCATAATATAACTTTGACTTACTGATACCTCATTCCAAGCAAAGAGATTTGATCGCACTAATTTTGGCCATTTTATCTTGATATCGCTAGATGGCGCTGTAAGTGGACATATCTGTGGCGCTGCCGAATATACAAATTTTATTTCTTATAATAAGCTATAAGCCCACTCGAATTGAGTACCACCTCTTTTTGATATTAGTCAAAATATGTTCAATGTAGTGCTTACTGCTTAGGTCCAATGGGCGCTGCAGAGGGAAACAATAAAACGGAAAAGTTTTCGAAACAATTTTTTTATAAAACAACATTTCAACATAACATATTCGTCCACTGAGCATTTAAAAATACATATTTTTTACGTAACTATTACTTTAATTTATAATTATTTATCTAATGGAATTCAACGTCACATTTAAATATCAAACATTTATTTATTCGTCTGTAAATTATATTTAAACAAAATTAACATAACATCTATAATATAATCACCAGCAATGAACACTGTCTTAAGGTAAGGTGTAAAAATTTTATAAAATGTAAAAAAAGTCAGGTAATTAGGTAAAGCTAGTTAGGTCAAAAATCTAAGGACCGAATTTGGTCTTTTGAAGTTTGACCTTAGAAGAGAAAGATTATCATATTCTCAGGAGCGAAAGGGCACTTCGCTCTTATTTTCAATAATAAATTATATCTCTTAAACTCAACTGGAACTGTTAAATTAAGCCAAAAAATTGATTTGATATTATTATAGCATTGTATCTTAATAAATTTTGTGAATGAATTTAAACTTGAACAATATAATAGTTAATTTACGACTTTTAGTGAATGATAGATTAAAAATAATAATGATGCATATTAGTGTGTGAAAAATATTAATATTTTATAAGCAGAAGTGTTCATTGCACGTGATAGTAAAAATATTATATTATGGTATTGGTTTTCAAACAATTTTATATTTCAATAACTAGGGGGAGTCCTACTGCAATTTTACACCGGCGGTGACGCTACTCGCGCATAACGCATAAAATAGAAGTCATAGGCTTTTAAGTACACGTTTTTCGACAATCGTATTCGTGTTATTGGCGACGATTAGATTTCTCTAGTGACTTTTGTGGGAACTTACAAAAGCAGATTACAATACTACTTCTTTGCGCAATTCTTATTTTACAGTAGCTACAAATTTAAAAAATGAAATTATTTTTAATACTTTTTTTATATTGTTTGTGTGGTAGAAAAGCTTAGACTTTTGAAGATAAAACACAAAATTATACTAAAAACATCGATTAAAAATGTTCTCATCGAATGAGCGCTCATTTGAACATTTAAGCGTGATTTTGATAAAATACTTTTTTTTGTGAAAATAACTGTTCAATTAACATTGTTGTCTATTTATTTCAACTAGAACAATTACCTGAACACCACTGTTGACAATTTTAAGAGAACTTTTACATGGAATTGTGTATATAGTACTTTTTTGATCGATAATTATATAATAAAAAGCAATGATATATAATTCTTATCTTTTTAACGTTATGCGCTAGTAGCGCCATCTGGCAGCCTTTCGCGTGAAATCTTCAAGTATGTAGGTACTTTAATTTAAGAAAAAACAACATTATTGAAGAAAATATTTTTAAACAACGTTTATATCTGTTGAGAAGTAAAATTAAAAATATAAATTTACTTTTACACCATTGATTATAATGTACATTTTTATAATCAAAGTTATATAATTAGTACGCCACGTTTTTAATTATCTTATTTACTTTTTTAAATTTATTTAGACAAAGATTCAAAGATAAAATTCCTAACACAGATAACATTAGAATTTTAAATATTTATTTATTGTTGTTTTCACTTGTATTTAATTTAAAGATAATATACACAATATGTAGAGTTAGAAGAAAAGACGCATAGAAGGAAGGAGGTAGAGATGATTTGATGATTTTCTGACTAACATTTAATATTTTTTTATCTGTGATCTGCATACACTATGTATATTATCCCTACGGTATATGGCAGTTTAAATTTAAAATTATAAATAAGTCATTAGTAACTTTAACTTAGAAAATTAAACTAACTTATGTTTTTACAGATTTAAGAATATATAGAAAAATGATATTAAGAATAGTCTATTTGAGAAAACGACTAGGAGTTGACTAGAAGATATCACAAAATTGTAACATTTTAAAAACTACGTTCTTTGGTGATAACAATTAAATATTTTAAAGGTAGATGAAATATAGCGTTTTTTTCTCCTTATTATCGGGTGAGGACGTGTACATTGACATTTATATTTGGAAAATTTACATATATCTCTATTGACACTAGCAACATTCAATGTTTATTGTTCTATGAAATATACTGCTGTGACCACTGTACTGCATATTTTTAATTATCAGAATTTTGTTCTGTAACATGTTTTGGAGACCTTTTAAAATAATGTTACATGATTTTAGCCATTATTTGATCATTTTTAGTATGAATTCTTATAATTATATTATGTGTTACGAACAGAGTTTTATTAATCTTAGCCCAGTAAGTGAGTATTAACACAAAATTCTGTCAATTAAAAATGTGCAGTGAACTGTAGCTATATTTCCACTAATAACACTTATTTGGGACATTTGTCTCTAAATATTAAAGCTAACTTTACGATGACATTCAAAGCGACATAGAAATATAAAGGTGTTGATACATTTACACTAAAATATAGAACTTTTCATTCCTTATAATAATCATAAGAAAATTTCACCGGAGCTACGACTCCATCTATAGTTTGTGAACAATTTTTTTTAAAAGCGTATTCATATTGTAAATAACGTTGCGATATTATGCCTTTTGATTTGGCAGTTATTTATATTCATAATAATACATACATTTATCAATATTTTGTTACATTTAAACATGCCCATCGTTTAAGTTAGACTACAATACTCTTATTAATTAGTTAACTAAATAAAGAGAAATAACTTAAAAAGTTTGGTCATATTTATTAAAAATAGGTGTATTTAAGATGGCAACACTTCCTTTAAACAAAGTGAAATTGTTCACACACTATTTTCCAAATATATTAAATATTCTAATAATAATACATCAATGTTATTTAAAAAGTTGTATTTTATATTGTTTCTCTAAATCGATCTAGTAAATATGTATTTAGGCATTAACAATGAGTGTTTCTTCACTGTTCCTCGTATTTATTTATATTTGTATATCAAAATGAAATAGTATTTATATGTATTTTAAATAAAACTCCTATTTTTATCGATTTTTTTTGCATTTTTTTGGTTCATGGTCACGAGAGGTCCGTGTCACGGAATCCAATGTAAAATAAAATCGTTTAAAAATCCGAGAAAACCAACTTATTTAACTTTTTAAGGAAGTACGAATAGGAATAATTTCATCTATTACGTTTTTTGGAATACAGAGTATTAAAATAAATAAATAAGTCCATACAAGAAGGACATAATTTTTCAAATGTGAAGAAACTCCCACGAATTCACCGAATCCCTTTAAATGCACCATAATATTTTAAATTTTAATCTACATTTTTAATTCTCTACCTATGCCATAGAGTCTGTGGTAAATATTGGTGCGATTTAAAAAAAAATAGACGATGGTATTTTTTATTAAATAATAAACAATACGAAATGAAAATTAATTTAGTTTGATGGCAGTTTATCATCGATGTTATTTAGATATATCTTTTTAAATAATCTTTTTAGAAATGAATATAAATTGTAGGTGACAGATTTTTATATATTTCAATATATCATGAACAGTTTAACATTTAGATTTTAGTAAAACATTAAAAATATTTCATCACATGATATTATTTAGAATTTTTTAAAGTAATTTAAGGATATCTTTATCATTCGATTCCAAGAATATTTTCTCACATTTATGAAGTCATTTTATTATTTATGGACATCACATTATACATATATTTTTGTTGATTTTCTAGTCTGTTGAGTGTACGTAAAAAAATACTGTACACGTATATTGATTTTATCTATTTTAGAGATGTCAACTTTTTTACTTCGGCAGTAAAAAAGTTGTAGAAGTAAGGAGGAGTCACTGTATATGAAAAAGTGTCCGTCAAAGTGCGTCCAATAAGGGCGGCGCTGCGGTAGCGTAGGATATATTTTACAGGAAATGCCAAAAGTAATTAGATATAAAGCAATAAACTAGGATGGTTATATTTATTAAATTATTTTAGACTACATAAATAGTTGAGGTTTTGTGTACTGGTATTTCATTATCTACTTTATTCATGAAAAAATTTAAATTATTGAACTCGGCACACTACTTCGTCTACAATAGCTAAATGCCTAAAGGTAAACTACGTGTTAAATAATTTTTTTATTATGTTATATGTTAGTTTTTAAGATATATATGTTATGGGCTTGTGCTTGCATATTTAAGATCTTTTTGTAAATATTGCCTGAAATAAATGGTAAAAAAATAAAAACATAAATAAAAATAAATTCATATTATAGTTTTTCGTACGCCAGCTCTGTCTATTTTCAGCATACAAGTGGTCATTTTTCAACTTGTCTCCCATATAATAAACTCCTCCATACCCCTACTACATCTACCCTCGATACTTCGCCATTTAAAAAATTCTCAATTTTTGACTATCTTTCTCAAAAACCCAATACTTATACATGTCGATACTGTCGATTGTGGAGTATCGATTATTCTCCTTCATGTATACGTCGAATATGTATAACATTTATATAAATTTCATTTAAACATGCATTCTACATCAAATTGTATGAAATTAATTATTGTAGTTTGGAGTTGAAGCTTAAAACGCACTTAGATGGCGCTAGCGATGTTAATTGTTATACCATTTTTGGTATTTGACAAGATATTTAGTATCTGAACAAATTATTTATTGATTTAGTCTTTATATAGTGTACTGTGTAGAGAAAAAACGTAAAGATTTTCTACACCGAAAGCTATTTAAATCATTTTCATTAGTAGCGCCATCTAACGTCAAAATGAAGGCTTAAGTCCTTTTCAATGGTAAATAGCTATAGTGATTTTTCTAAAAATTATCATTTATGTGTACACAGCCAGGGCGAATCCACGCGGATTCTAAAATTATTTTATCCTCTAAATTGGGATCGATTAAATAAAATGTATCGATGAACATATTTTGGTTCAAAATTCATTAGTCGCGAAAGGGGAATAATCCCCCGACCCCTCCCGCGTCCCAGTCGGCCAACTCCACGGGACCGAAGCATTCGTCGAAGAACTGCTCCATAGTTTTGTGCACATGGAGGTTAGAGCGCTCGAAGTTGTGACCCTCGTCTGGGTACACCTGGAATTATGGGTAAAATACATAAATTAAAAGCATCACGGCAGTTTAGGGAATTTTGGGGTCTGGGCTAACGCATTTTTAGGCCCACCTAATTAATCAAACTAATTGTTATTTTGTCAAATTTCTTTTATTTTTTTTTCCTCGAGAAGTATCTTAGATTTTTCGAAAAAAATACCCTATATTGCTTCCATTTAATAAAATCTATGTAGTAGTTTTGCTTGAAAAGTTGATTTTGACTATTGGGTAGCTTCAACATACGGCCCTAGCAGAACTGACGTATAGAAATCGTTAAATGTTAAATCTAGATTAGATTACACTACCTAGAATTAGCTAGAAAAGCCAGTACTACCCACTAAAACCCACCAGAACCTCCCCCGTTTTAATAAGGCGTCGTGGGTCGCTTACGAATTTCAACCGATAGTTTCATAAGCCGTGATCCGAACATCGCAGAAGGTGCCCTTACGGAACTAATTTCTAGGTAGAACCTTTTGTCCACCATAAAAGCCCGGTGACGCTGTCAAGGTCAATAGGGCCAACAGCACTATACATTCAGGAAAAAAAGTAGCTTACGATTTCAACCACGACGCCCCTATGGCAGGGCCACTCTACTGTCCACTACCAGGAGCAATCCCGTCCTGTAACTGACCTGGTGCGTGTACAAGGCCTGCGCCCGGATGAGCGCGCGCGCAAGCGCGAGCGCGTGCGGCGGCGGCGCGCGCAGGTCGGCGGTCGCGTGCGCCAGCAGCAGGCGGCGCGGCGGCAGGTTGCCGGCGCGCCGCCACAGCGCCAGCGACGCCGCGCCCAGCGCGCCCGCGTACCCGGAGTGGCGCTCCGTCCAGTACGAATCTGGGGGATGGTGAGTTATGAAAAGTGAATCTTGTTTATTTTTTAGGGATCCGTTCCTCAAAATGTAAAAAAGGAACCATTATAAGATCACTCTCTTGTCTGTCTGTCCGTCTGTCTGTCGTCAACACGATAAAAAGATATGGGCAAATTTAGATTTTCACGAAATCTTGTAAGTACCATAATTTTATTTCCAACTTTTTTATTTTTTGGAATTTTTCCTTTATTTGTGCTGTAAGACCTTGCTTTTTGCCAAATTTCATGATTCTAGGTCAACAGAAAGTACCATATAGGTTTTCGACGCAAAACCTATAGGGTACTTCCGGTTGACCTAGAATCTTCGATCAACAGTAGTATTATCGATCGAAGCCTAGAATTGTTAATTTTGGTTAAAAGCAAGGTCTCACAGCACAACAGGTTTTCTTTAAACGAAAAATTCAATAACTGAACTTATCCTAACCCGAGACCACAACCCAGGACCTCCAGATCTGCAGCCGTAAATGTTTGCCACTAGACTTACGCGGCAGAATCAGAATAAATCTCAGTCCTAAAACGAACTGTGAACATTGTAAAATTGTACATATAATGCCTTAAAATCAACGAAGTAACTTTTAACTTACTATGATGTCGCAGATCAGCAAGAGGTGCCAAGAGCGCTAGACATCTTGTTAGGTTCCTGGCGTCGCCCGCGGCCAGCGCTAACGCCGCTCCGGCCCCGAACCCGTGACCCCACGCGCCGATACGACTCCCATCCACCATTTTTAGATTATCTCGTAAATAACTGTGAAGACAATATAGTTTAGTTTTTTAGTGAGAATAGTATTACAATAGTGATTTTTCATAGTTAAATCTTCTGATTAACAATTTTTATCCTAATTAAATATGCACTGGGACAAATCATTGTTTACATAATAAGCTTATAAACAATATATATAGAGAGATGATCACCGAGAGATTTTCAAATTGTATCCCTATATAAAAAAATCCGATAAAAACTTACGAAAGTACAGCTATCTGGTCCTCAACATCCACTGACAGCAGGCGTTGGTATATTTCTGTTCGGAGCTCTTCTCCCTAGAAAACAAAAGAGATGTGAGAAATTTTTAGTTATTTGCATGTACATGTATATATTCATTCCTTTTTAAAGTCTCACTGCTGGGCACAGGCCTCCCTTCAAAGCGAGTTAGATCAGGCCATAGTCCACCACGCTGGCCAAGATCATATAGCGATCATATAAGCGAAAGCGATAGACATGAAATCTAGATGGAAAAATTATTTTCATTCATTAATGTTGTTGTTGTATGCATCGATCAAAAAAGTACTAGATACACAATCAGCGACATTAAATGTCCTCACTGAGTGAGCGCTCATTTCAACATTTAAGCGCGCTTTTAATATTTTTTATTTATTTTATTTATCGAAGCTGCAGTAATTTTTTCTATTATTTTCCATTATTTTATCATGACTTATACAGTGGGCGTTATATGGGAAGTCTTGGTTCAAATGAAAGTCGATGCAATCACAGTTGTATTTCAAATTAACAATAATCACTTTGTACATAGTTAAACAGCACTTCACTACACAGCCATATACCACTTCACTATTACCATGTATAGACAATACGGAACGCAAGACAGTTTCTACTAGTGCTCACTGTGCGACCGACCAAGCGTAACTCAGCCGAGCCCGGTCGAGTGTCACAACGTAGACTCTGTCGAGCCCAAAAAGATGGCGCTCGCGTTCCGATTAGTTGTGATTATGACTCGTCTCCGACATATTTTTATTTTATTTATTTATTTAAGGGAAACAAACAGTACAATAATACATCTTCTATACTATAATAAAACAGTAGAGGTCGAATGTCTGTACATAGCAAAAAAATGCTAAAAACCGAGTCAGGGGAATGTAAGAAGACAAATAGAACAAATCCAGATTTTTTTCAATTTTTTTGTTTCTCTGTCTGTTTGTCTGTTTGTACGGGCTAATCTCCGAATCTATTGGACCAATTTAAATGAAATTTTGCATGGTCACCTTATATCCCCGGGCAACATCTTAGATACTTTTTATCCCGGAAAATTAAATAGTTCCCGTGGGATAGTTAAAAAACTATAATAACTTATACAGCTTAGTACACAACAACTTATGCACATAATTTAGTAAAATTTAACATTCTGAAACATTATATTGCCGGTCAAACAACAGTTTACATTTCATCCCGGAAAGATGAACGATTCCCGTGGGAACTAATAGATCTCTATAAGTGTTTTTGTAGAGGCGAACCCGAGCGAGGCGAGGGTGAGCCGCTAGTAAATAATAATAGGATAACACATAAACCAAAGATGTTTCCACATATTAAATATGCAAATAAGAAGCAGACCACAATGAAAATAAAAAAAAATAGATTTATAGATTTACTACTGTTTTAGTTGGTTCATTTATAACTTCACTTTCCTCAACATTGGGGTAGGTGAAAAAAAAATTTTTTTTCCTGCGACACCCCATTAACACGGGGGAAGGTTTTGTTGGGTTTTAGTGGGTAGTACTGGCTTTGCCGGTGAGTCCCACACCGCGTGCGTAAATGCATTTCCCAACGATAAAAAAAGTTGAAAGAAAACTTATTATTATAATAATTTATACATTTCTGTATTATCATAATGTTTACTATTACTACTAAACGTGTAAAATTTAATTTTGAATTTGTATTTAATTTTCCAAAAAATGTAAAATCATGATATATGTAAGCTATGCTAAATAAACATAATATAAAACACAAACTAACTTGTCCTCCAGATCCTCTTGCGTCTATCTCCGCCACGATGAAGTTCCGTGCGGTGGCGAGGTACCACCCCCAGTCTGGTCTCCATCTCTCCGTGACCAGCTGGCCTCCTGGCTCTGCCGACCTATTGATAGAGGCATAATTTTTACCTGATTATTATTTGTGATATTAACCTGTGCTCAACTGGCACGCTTTGAAGCGAATTGAATATTTTTTGAAATTTAAATATGATATTATGATAGTTGAAAATTGAATATTTGAAGAGAATTGAATATTTTTACCATGCTTTTCCTTTTGGGCTAAATTAGATAGCCTTTGGTTATATTGAGATTGAGCCAATTTAATGACAATACACAACGTTGTACTTTGTTATTTTGCTAAGGTGCTTCGTTGTTAGCGATATCGTCTGACGGCCCAACCCGTGACCATGATTGCTGTAAAGCATTCGAAATGTCGGGAACCAAAAATAATGAATCATAATGAATCCTCGAAAATATCTGAAAAGATAGTTTTATTTGAAATAACTTACACGTGTAAGACTAATGGTAGCGGCAGGTCGTCAGTCTCGCGCAAGCCGGGAGGCAGCAGCAGTCGCACGCGCGCTTCTCTGTGAGCTTGCACCTGAAAAAATATATTAAAGAACATGTTATTTTTGTTTACATCTATTTAACGCTATTCTTTACATAAAATTAAAGATAAGTTTGTAATTAGAAATAATTTGCTGTTTTACATTTGCAGTGGTTTCTCTCCTTATATTCTTGTAGGTCCTTGAACTACTTAGAATAAAGTAGCAAGTTATTATGTATGTAATATATTGTTTTCGCAGGTTTTTTGTTAAACAGTTATAATTGAAATATGTAATATTTTTTTTTTTTTTTTTTTTTTTTTTTTTTTTTTTTTTTATTGACGCTCGACAAGATGACTCCATGACGCCTGATGGTAAGCGACAGTGGAATCCAGAATGAGATCCATCGGATCCGGGACTTGATCTCGATTCCGATCAACCTCACCTTGTCGGCCTGCAAATGTGCTTTTTCACGCTCCGTTTAAACGACCCAGGATTATAGGAAGAGGGAAACACGTGAGACGGTAATGAATTCCATTTCCTAATAGTGCGGCACAGGTAGGAGCTGCCAAACCTTTTGGTACGAGAAGGTATGGGTAGTACCGTGTGAGGATGGAATTTCCGACCAGCACGTGTGGTTTTGGAGAGGAAATTTGCAAATCCTACTTCAGATTTAGCCAAAACTATGTGTAATTATATTATTGCCTATACAAATACAATAAAAAAAGTAAAACTAGATAAGAATATTATAACTAATGTTAAGTGATTCAGTTCTAAGAATGAGGATCTATATAAATAAAAATGAATAGCTAAATATATTGCTATGCGTAAAACTCGAAAACAACCGGACTAATTCGGCTATTATTTTAATTAAAATATTCGCTTACGTTCGAGGAAGGTTCTTATAAAGGCAAAAATTGAATAAAGACCCCACAAAAAAGGAAAAACACAATCTTTATAATCGGGCCTGCTACACACTTAATTTAACTTAATTTGAAAGAACGAACTCTGTCAGGTCAGCTAGTGAACCATAAAAACAGTTATAAATATAAATAAAACTAAACGATCACTTCCTTACCTCAACTCTAAACACCTTGGACTGCGGCGCGGCGAGCGCGGCGAACTTCTGCCGCAGCGGCGCGCCGTCCCACAGCACCGCGCGCCGCGCGCCGCGCGCCGTGCACAGGAACGTGGCCGGCGGGCTCGGACCCAAACACTCCTAGGGGCGTACAGTTATTGTATTTAACCTTTTTTACATCCCATAGCTGGGCACGGGCCTCCCTTTAATGCGAGGGAGATCCAGCCAGGCCAAGCTAAGTTCTCTAAGACATGCAGGTTTCCTCACGATGTTTTTCTTCACCGTAAGACAAGTGGTAATCATGTTGGAAGCGATTCGCAAATCACGCTCAGTCTGCAATACTGGCCACAGTGCAGTATATTTTCAATATTATACTGACGAATTCCAATACATAGTCCATTCTTAAGAAATATAATTTTTCAATATTTTTAAATAAATAAATATTTTTACATCATATTTAATTGCGAGATAATCCTGAAAGTGTACATTTTAAATTACCTGTACATAGTACGAGAAGTTCTTGCTAAATATGACTCTATTGTAGAGACACGCAGTAGGGAGGGAGTCGTTCTCGTCGGCGACGTGCGGCAGGACGGTGGACGTCGGCCACGATGGTAGAGACGATGTCGTGTTGTCATACTCCTGGAAAGAAAGATATTTTAGTGATTTTTGTTGATGAATGTTATATTAAAATACTGTGACTTGATATATAAAAGAGCAACTGTTGAGTATTGCGCCAGCTTTTTTTAGCAGAACTGCCTTTCTAGCTGGTGGTAGCTTACCAAACTGACAACACTGACTTACGCCAAATTAAATCAACGAGTGAAAAGGGCTTGTATAAGTCAATTGTATGAAGTTAATTTTTATTTTATTTACATTTAAAAAAGGTGTTTTAACTAACCGGTTCCTCAGTGCTAGGCTCAATGGTAGTGTCAGGTATAAAGCCGGGGCAGGTGAGGCACGAGGGCGGTGGCGGCCACCCATCCACAGGAACGGCTACGCGGTACACATGTCTCTCCCCCGCTTTCTCAGGAGCCGTCCCTATTACGTATCTGTAACATATATTTAAGATTATAATAGTTAATATAGAACCACTATATACTATGTTTTTACTACTTTTAATTGTTTCTTATTCGTCAACGAGCGACTGATCCTCGCTTTGCTCGGATATGTTTCTAGGTGCGTTTTGTTCTTATAATCGAACTACTATTATAAATACGAATGTGTATGTATGTATGTATGTATGTATGTATGTATGTATGTATGTATGTATGTATGTATGTATGTATGTATGTATGTATGTATGTATGTATGTATGTATGTATGTATGTATGTATGTATGTATGTATGTATGTATGTACGTATGTTTGTTTGTTTGTTTGTTTGTTACTCCTTCACGCTGCACGGCTGGACGGATTTAGATGAAATTTAGCACACAGATAGACTAAGATCTAGAGTAGCACAGAAGCATAGTGAGTCACAAAGAGATTAGTAAATAAATAAATGTACAAATAAAACATAATTGTATTTTTAACTTACAAAAGCCGTCTCCTCTCATCCCACCCAACTAGCTGAGTTATTTCGAAGTTCCCTTGTGTAATGGTAGTTCTCGTATCCTGAGTGAGATGAACAGCATGTCTCCAAATACCACCCTGGTCTGTGATGGGTGCAGTGGTGAAGACCCCACTGCGACCCCCCACGAGGGCCCCTCCCCCGCACCATCCGCAGTCGTCCTCTACAGGATCAGAACCCAGGCCTGACCAGCGACTGCCGTCTGATTCGTCCCGGTAGATCTGTAAGTTATAAAATTTTTCGTAATAAAAATGGAAGTTATTTAAAATTGTGTATAAACCTGTACAATACAGGTTTTTGCACAATAATTTTAGGTATACATATTATTTTATACTATCTGACCAGATATACCGAGTTATGTTCTAATTTAAGCAAAACATGAAAAATGATCTTTTAGTTAATACAAACTAATTATACTATAGGAAAAGAAACTTTTAGTATTTTCGGATTTTTCAATTTTTGCAACTTCTTAATTTTATAACAAAAAACCTTTTCAAATTATCTGAATATTGTGAAAAAATATCATCTAAATCGATCCAGTCGTTCTTGTGTGATGTGTTTTCTAACGAACATTTTTATCATGTAGATATTTAAGTATAGATTTAATAATATTGTAAGTCTTACTTGTAAATGAAAACGAACTTCTATTTTTTCATACTTTTAAATGGCAACTCTAACTAAGTCTCGGTTGTCGATCCTATTACATTTAAAGATTTATTTTCAACTTTTACTGAAGTTTTTTCTATTCTAGAAAGAATTTTCTTTAATAACAAGCCAGTTTTAAAATTCCTTATTGGAATCTTAATAAAAAGCTTTCAGCAAGTAGGTTGAAGATCAGACGATAACATTATTTGTGAAACAAACTTGAAAAGAAAGAAAGCTAATTATATCTGTTTATTGAAGTAAAAGATCAAACAAATATAGATATATAAAAACTTAGTTACACATTTCCTAACAAATATCTCTTCAAAAATTGCCGTCGATTTGTGATGTTAAGTCAAACCAAAGCAATGAACAAAAGAAATTTGAAAAAAAGCACAGAATTTCGAGTTGTGCGCTTCTCTTTGAGGACCCTTTTGATACGTTATTTGTGTACTGAGTTTTTGTTTATCAATCATGGTCATATATTTTAAATTTTGCAAGAAAATTTTAAAATTAGTTTTAACACTATTTAGTGTGTTAAGGTTTTCTTTAACAAAACAATGGCTAAATAAATATTATAATATCATATTTTCAGAAATACACTTACAAGTATTCTTTGTCACAAACTGTTTGATTCTTTTAATTCCTTTAAATGAATAAATTATTAATATTATATATTATAGTATAGTTGGGTGATAAAAAAATCTATTAATTTAGACCACAAAGTTTTTTTAATCTATCAATAGAAGCTTTTTGAAAGATTTTTGGGATCCTGTGGTAAAAGCATATAACATCCTCTATAAAAAGAATGACTGACTCTGTAACTGAGTCAAGAGCTATAAGTTTGTGTTTGCTTCTGATATTAATGTACTTACATCTTGGCAATTATATTGCACAGCGTTACAGATACTGATGATGGATACATTTTGTGGTCGGTTGAGGAGTAGCACCGCTATCTGCCGCTCTGAGATCCAGCTGGACCAACGGACGTACCAAGCTGAAATATAATACATGATATATATAATATACTTTTTACTTTCTTCCTTTCAATCTTTCTCTCTCTCTCTCTATTTCTTTCAATCTCATACTGCGATGGGATGACAATTGATGTGACTAAGGAGAGATCTGGGGAAAAAATATATAAACAGATTTTATGTGTTCTTCGAGGTACAAACGTGAAATACTGTTACTGAGGTTTTTTTAATAGATAAACATAATAACTAAACTTGGTCCGACCCAGGACTCGAACCTGGAACCTTCGGTTTTGCGGTTGTGACTATATAATTATTATAGCAAGTCAAATTTCCACTGAGTCAAATAGTTATTATTGTGAACCATATTTGTCGTGTTATAATATATCTTAGGAGATTTACTTACTGCTGTCTACTGGTGTATTAAACTGTATCGCATGCGGGAATAGAAACTTGGGTGTCTTGATGCTGACCACGTACACTGTGACCACTGGGTTGTTAGTATTCACCTGGAGAACAAGATACGACTTTATACTTGGAATGCAAGAGATGTAGGAAATCCGACATGAAATTACAAATAATTTAACTTCTTTCTTTTGTCTCTCTGTCAAACAGACAGTTCCAGTTGATCTCCGAAACGGCTGGACTGATTTTGACGGCACTTTTACTAGTAGATAGCTAATATTATAAGAAATAACTTAGATTACTTTTATTTTAGAAAAACAATCAGGGTTCCGGGCAAAAATTGGAACTTATGAAATTTTGAACAAAATCCGCTTACAAGGCTAAATCGCTAGTAATTAATATAAAAGTATATGTGGATGGAATTTACTATTATTGTATACAAGCTTAATCAGACATTTAATTAATCTGACGGTTTCAAGTATTTATAACTTATTGAAATATTTTTTAAATATTTTGATCGGCTGCCCTAGACGCGCGGCCCTATATAAAGGACTTATATTATGGTAGAGGCACTCAAACTGCATATCTGAGAGAACCTAGCAAGTTATCAAAAGACATGGGAGGTCTGCCAACCCGCACTTGGCCAGCGTGGTGGACTATGGCGTGATCCCCCTCGTACTGAAGGGAGGCCCGTGCCCAGCAGTGGGACGTTAAAAAAGGCTGCATACAATACAAATAAATAATATAAATATAATTATTAGATACATATAATAAAAATGAGAACACCCTCATGTTTGGACTTCAAGATTATTTCAAATTCTAGCTCGACTCTATTAGGTTTTCAGACATTCCTCATGATATTTTTTGACATCATGTAAGATTAAATATAAGATTTATAACTGAAAATATCAGACAGTGTTCTAATTAGGACTTGAACCCACCACATTATAAAACCGTGCTAGGTGTCTGCTAACATATATGTAGTGCAAGTAATGGAGCACAGATGGCGTTGAAGGTTTCTGAATGGCGCTATCAAGTGGTCGCGTCGCGGAGTACGTAAGCGGGAGACGACATGACACGGTGGAAAATCGAGTTGAATACTAATAATTTTGACGTGCTGTAAGTTTGAGAATGTCGAAACTCGAACCCAAAGCATTATCTATACATATAATAAAATTCTAACCGAGTCGAATCTCTATTCTGTACATTAAATATTTTTTTGGAAAATCTTATTGAAATAGACATTATTATCGATACAGAGGCCGAATCTATAGTTTTAAGAATTTTTGTCTATCTGTCTGTTTGTTATCGCATCACAGAAAAACCACTGGAGGGGTTTTCATGAAGTTTGGTATGGTGATAGCTGGTTATCCGGGTCAACATATAGAATACTTTAAAAAGTACCTATATGTTGACAAAAAAAATATTGTTTTTTTTTATAAGTAGGTACCATATAAAATTTCATATGCATTTAGTAAAAAGCTATTATTTTGAAATTACCCACAAAGACTTCAATTTTATTTATCTGTATAGATAAAAAAGAATGATGATGTGATGATGTTCTCCTAGCCGATTCCGGCCATGGCGGCCAATCTCAATGAGATTAGCCAACTGCGCAGGAGATATTATAGTGCTCAAGTGTACGCGCAGACACAAGTGCACTCTCTATTCCTATCGCTCTCATACTCCGGTGGGACGACCACTCGACACGACCGGTGAGAGTTAAGGCACAGGACCGACGGCTTTACGTGCTCTCCGAGGCACGGGGGTGAAACACCGCCAAAAAGAATACTACCGTGACTACTAGTAACAGTAGCGAAAAAAGAGCATTTTGAAATTTTGATTTATTTTTCTCTTTTATTAAATAATATATTACACAGCTTTTTTTAACGTTGGGAAATGCATTTACGCACGAGGTGTGGGACTCATCGACAAAGCCAGTACTACCCACTAAAATCCAAAAACCTTCCCCCGTCTTAATGGGGCGGCGTCGCAGGATCGCTTCCGCATTCATTATTAACTTTGAATCTCACCTTCGGATACCTCAAAGTCCTGATACTTGGGTACGCCGGCGGCTCCTGCTGGTCTAGTCCATACCATGGGTATTTATGCTGTTGGACTGCAGAGTCGTTGTATGTCACATACATTAAACTTTGGCCATCTGGACTAAACCAAATAGCCCGATCTAGTCTCAGTACTTCAGTTTCATAGAGGAAATCTGGAACTCCATTGAAGATTACTCCTGGTACTCCTGTAATAAAGTGTCATTTTATATATATTTTTTTTAAATTTGAATTTTTATGTGTTTTGCATGTGTAATAAATAACAAATGTGGAAAATATTATTAATAAACATATGTACATAGGTATGTACGAGTATATCAGACCAAATTTCATCAATATCCGTCCAGTGGTGTTCCCATGACGCGATAAGAAAAAGAAAGACAGAGACGACAGTTCTGATTTCGAAGATTTGGCTTTTGTATCAATAACAATAGCTATTAAAATATTTTCCAAAAAATATTCTAAGTACTCTGTAATAGTTTTATTATATATGTATAGATTAACATTATGTCTGTTTAAAATCTGTACATATAATAAAATTCTCAGTCGAATGTACAATTTAATATTTTTTGGAAAATCTTATTGAAATAGTTACCTATACAGAGGCCGAATCTATAGTTTTGATAATATTTGTCTATCTGTCTGGGAACGCATCACGAGAAAACCACTGGACAGATTTTGATTAAATTTGGTATGATGATAGCTGGTTTCCGGGTCAACGTATAGGATACTTTTTACTGCGAGAAAATATCTCATCTCTGAGAAATCTACACTAACCTTTAAAACGTACCTATGGACTAACCCGAGCAGAGCGAGGTTGAGTCGCTAGTCTTACCTATAATATCAATCTTCAAAACAATACTCGACACCAAGCAAAGCTTCACTTAAAAACATAGTTTGTAATATTGAGCTTTCAAAGTTTCCCTACAATTTGGACCATCAGCTTTTATTGCTGCGAATTGAACAGAATAATCCGATACGAATTTTCTCAAAGGTTCGTATTGTCGAGGAATACATGAAAGCATATAATACGATTTAGCAAGATTGCCTTCGACGTGAGTGTGGAATGTCAACTTCTAACAAAGGGAAAAAGCACGTTTAGTATGTTTGTCTGAAAAGTTAAAGCTAATAATATGCTTAATAGTTTAGTCGGGGGCTTAGAGAGTGATGTATTAAAATCGTGACGTAAAAAAATATAGACTAAGTTTCTAATTTGACTGATTTCTTAAAACGCGATATTTACGCGATACGCGATATTTTTTAAAACGCGAATATTTGGCATTTTTAATAAAACTATTTTTACTTATTATTTATGTTTAATATTACAATAAAAAATATTGTAAGGTACTTTGGTGCCATATTTGTATTTTTAAAATCATTTTATAATCTTGTACGTAAGTGCTGTCTGTAAAAACTACCTCTGAAGTTTCTTCTGTGACCATGATGCTGTAAAGCATTCGAAACGAAACGGAACCAAAAATCAAAACGTAAACGCGAAAAAATTCGAAAAGATAGTTTTATTTAAAACTCTCTTCTTTATAAATATATTTAGATGTTTTTAACCAAATAAAATAAAAGTTTACTATAATTTTATTATAACAAAATTTGATTTCTTTGTTATTGAAAAATTAGAAAGATATTCAGTTTTTTTTACATTAGTTAATATGTTGCGCTGTTTTTGATTCATTATGATGTTATATTAAAATAATCGTATTTAGAATTAGTAGCATGTAAATAAAAATGAACCTTACATTTGCTACTTTACGGTTTATTTCCTTTAAATGGGAACTTTTTAGTTTTAACTAATTCTAAACTTATAATCGTGTCACGTATAGAGTATAAACAGAGGCCCAGTAATGTTTCTTCGAAAAATGTTTTAAGTAAAACTGTAGAAAATTTAAGTATCCTGATAAAAAAGTTCTAAGTGCTTTGTTATTTATTTATGAAAAAGCTCTAACTTAAGTCGTATTCGAGTTCAAACATGTTGAAATCAAAGGCGTATTATTAAGCTTTATAATTCAGAGCTACGGGAAATTACGTAATTCTCATAATAAATAATTTTCAACTGATAATAATTAATAAATAATAAATAAATATGTGGATACATTAAAACATTCATATTAAGCATCTAGTTCCATGGTAAGCTACGAGGCTCGTATTATGGATACCGGATAGTTAATACACTACACATATATAACTTTATATACATACATATTATAAAATATATAAACACCCATGACTGGAGTACAAACATGCGTGCTCATCATACAAATGAATGCCAACGGGAATCGAACCCGCGACCGCTGTTGGCACAGCAAGTAGGGTCACTACAAACTGAGCCAAACGTGTCATCAATAAAGTGGACGTTGATGTTACTTAAAGATAAATCTTTATCTATACTAATATTATACTAATTGTAAAGAGGAAGAGTTATTTGTTCTTTTTGTTTGAAAGTACCTACCACTTTGATTGTTTGTTCGTTTGTCTTTGCTGTTAATCCTTATAAAAATAAATGACTTACATATTTGTAGTTTACGAGAAAAATGAAACAAATCGCCATTTTTGTGTAAAGATACTTGGGACTGGGCCACTATTTGTTTAGATTTTACAACAAGTAAAAAGCAGTCCTAAATAGAAATAGCAAAAAAAAAACACTTAATAAATTATATCTATCTTTTAATACTTATTACGATTTGTTTAAAGTTGTGAACAATTCAAGCCTTTTTTTAACTTAAGACTACAAATCAAATGACTTTAAAGACAACGAAACCAAAAATAACCTTTGAAAACCTCAAGTATTCTATCTACAGAACTGACAATCCTGGCCTGACCTACTGTCGCTAGTATCGGATCTTATAATATGTAGTATATGCTAGCATGTACGGCTGCACACCCGGAGGACCTGGGTTCGTGTCCCGGGTCGGGCCAAGTTTAGTTATTGAGTCTTTCTGTATAGTAAACCTCAGTAACAGCCCGGAGTCGGGAAGTTGGCGGTGTTTCACCCCCGAGCCTCGAAGAGCACGTGTCGCGCCGGTCTAGCGCCTTAACTCTCACTGGTCGTGTCGAGTGATCGTCCCACCAGAGTATGAGAGTGACAGGAATAGAGAGTACACGTTGTGTCTGCGCGTACACTTGTGCACTATAATATCTCCTGCCCAGTTGGCTAGTCTCAATGAGATTGGCCGCCGCGCCGTGGCCGGAATCGGCTAGGAGAACATCATCATCACTTATCAGAACGTAATGTCTGCACGATTCAGAATACTAATAATTCCACCTATTAAACGAATAGGTTAAACAACATCAAAAACTTAGCAATATTATTATGCTGGAATAGAACCTGCGATCCTGTCACTCTTTTATACTACAACTGTGCCATTGAGTTTTAATAACCATTTAAAAGCGCTGAATTTCCTCAGATTTCCGCAATTCCATCAAATAAAGTATTAAATCGTTTTTCATTTATCTGAATAGCTTTGACATTTGTTTCCGCACCTGTTAATAAATTAAATGAAAGCTCGAACAGCATTAACTTTAAGACGTATTCAGATTTATGATGCTTTTAACCAACTGCTTTAGAAGGAGGGTAATGTGTTGGAAACGTGTATGTCTATTTCGTTGGTATGCTTTATACTTATTATGTATACTGAACTGCTTGATGGGTTGAATATATGAGGTGTTATTAGGTTTGTCTTGATTCTGAAAGTGATATACATATGTATATTATACATTATTTATATACTAGTGTTCGCTCAGTGGTCGAAATTTGAATATAATAATTAATATATAATTTTTTATTTAAATTTTCTATACCAGTTTCCAATTTTTTTTAATCGATCACGCTAAAGCTCGTCAATAGATACTAAGCAAAAAAAAACAAAGAAAATTGGTTAAAACAGAGGAGTAGAAGGTACTAAACTGTTTTGTCTTTGTATATTTTTAAATAAAAGATTATGATGATTCCTGCGAATCTACAACATGGGACATTAACACACAACACGGTCATCGATAATAAGCTACGAGGGTGGTGCTATGGATGCTAGATAGTTGATACACTACACATATATAACTTTAAATACATACATATTATAAATATAAACACCCATGACTGGAGTACAAACATTCGTGCTCATCACACAAATGAATGTCCCCAGCGGGGCTCGAATCCGCGACCGCTGGCATAGCAAGTACGGGTATTACAAACTGAGCCAAACGTGTCGTCCAAAAAGAAAAGGGGATCAAAAACGTATATTTTGTTGTTGTAACAATATGAGTATCAAATAAAAGCTAGCAAATTGACAATTCCATATAAAGCATGTATGTTACATATTATGTATGTTTTTAACAAATTAATACTCTGCAACTTTACCACTCGGAAACAAATTAATAATAGTTTCATCAAGATTATTAAAACGAATTAAAACATTAAAATATTTTTCACTGGTCAGCCATTTTCAAAATTACTTTATTGTGTAAACTTCTAATTATTCGATTGCGGCGAAGCCCAAAGGTGGGTTATATGTTCGACCTGTACGTATGTATATATATTTTGTATGTCCAATTCTATGTTTCCTCGTAATTACCAAACGGCTCAATCATTTTGATGATTCATAAGTCGTTAGGCTCGTCTTGATAATGCGAGTGTCACAGGATATCCATACTAATATTATAAATGTGAAAGTGTGTCTGTCTGTCTGTCTGTTTGTTTGTTTGTTTGTTTGTTTGTTTGTTTGTTTGTTTGTTTGTTTGTTTGTTTGTCTTTCTTTCACGTCGAAATGACCTTCGAATTTGAATCGAAGTTATCTCTTTCTCACGGCAAAACACGTTATGATACTAGCTAAAAAAATATTCATGATCAGAATTACTTGAATCTTGGAAGTAATGCTCTTCAATAGGTACAATTAATTAAATACATTTTTTAGCATTTTTTGAAATTTATCCCACAAGGGGGTAAAAAAAGGGATGAAATTTTGTATTGAACCTACCATTTTATGAGTTATTTTTGTAATTTTAGCGCGAGCGAAGCCGCGGGGTCTGCTAGTACAGATATAATTAAAAACCAAAATGGCGGATTAAAAACCTGTTTAGTACTAGCTGCAAGTCTTGCTACGTATTGTATGTTTGTTCTCATCTTTTTAGTCCGCTTTTTACGCAGTTGGGATTTTTATTTTTGTAATTTTAAAATTTAGATTCCATGTTCAGCGCAGTAGGTAAGAGTGTTTAATTGGATCTGCCTTATAGCTGTCATGTAAACAATTGAATTGAAAGTAAATTGTACGAGCTCAGTAATGTAAGCGGGTATTCTAAAGTAAATTAATAAATTCCAAAGCTTTAAATGAAATAAAACACAATCTTAATTTTAGTGCTAACACTAAAATTAAGATTGTGTTTTATTTCATACTAATATTTACTACGTTATAGATTGTTATTTTAGTAGAATTCATTATAAAAAAAGTATTTTGCAAGATTCAAAATTATACACGCAGTTAATTCTGTTCAAAAGTTAGATTGAATTTTAAATAAATATGTAAATATTATTCAATAACTTCATCAATTTTTTTTATTATGACAAAGCAATCGAAACCTCAGGAACAAAAAATCAAAATGACAACCTGAAATCTGAAAAATAGTGTTACTCTTACTCTATCCATAAATACGAATAAATAGACTTATTTATTCGTAGATCCATAAACATTTTTTGAATTAAAAAAATATATTTTGAATTTTTACCGACAATGCATCAGTCGATAGATCGCCATTTTATAAAATTATATTTAATCTTGGAAAAATCTTCAAAAAGGGAGTATATAGTTGTTATGAATTATTCATATTATTATTTGCATTTTCCAACGTTTAAGTTTTAGGAGATGAATTTTTGTATCTAAATAAGAGAATTGATTTGTTTTGCTTCTATATTGACATCGATCAAAACAGAAATACACAAATCCCATTCAAAAATTCTCTTAAAACTCTCACCAATTGTCTTTAGGTAATTATTCTAGTTGAAATAAATATACAACTACGTAAATTGAACTTTAAATGGAATGCTTAAAGTTTTTTTCACAAAATAATTAAAAGTGCGCTCAAATGTTTAAATGACCGCTCATTCGGTGTGGATATTTTTGTTGCTGATTGTGTATCTACTTTTTTGATCGATGTATATATATTGCTTATGGAAATCCCATCATTCTCCGCTTGTTACAACTTACCATTGCTTGTGATCCTGCAGACCAAGGTCTTCAACACCTTGGGCTTGTAGAATATGTCGTTGTCGTACACAAAGACCAGGCCGGAGCCGGTCGGCGCCCACTCCGCGTACTGTAGTAAGGGGGCCGATCTGTCATCTTCTACCGGTGATATTGGGATTTTATTCCTATAAAAACAAATTAAATTTGTATATAAAAAAAATGCATTCTATCTATTTATGTGTGTGTTTGTGATGAAATTTTAGTTGTACAGTACACGAACTTGTACGGTATCGAAATTCAAGTTACAGAAGACACCTGGCGAAAATTAGTATACAAAAATAATTGCGCAGTCGAATTTACTCGTACTAGTAAGTATATATGAGAACTCTTTGTTTAAAGCTAAGCTAGCAGCTGATAGAAATCTTTAATTATATAGAATAGAAGAACATTTAGTAAACCACAGTGTAGATATTTGAGTGTTATCTCTTAATTAAGTTAGTTATATCAAAATAGAGGCATCATTTAAAACTAAAATCGGGCGTAGCAGTGTACACGTAATAATGTAAAAGAAATATGATTTTTCAAAATTTCTCTCATTATTTTTACTTAATGATAGCATTTCAAAAATACAGTGTTCCAGCTCGTTTTACAAAATCTTCTGTTGCTAAATTAAAAAATCTATATTAAAAAAATGTAGTGTAAAAGTAAAGTAAATAACATAAGTTAGGATGAAATGATTGCCTCCAGGCTATTTCAATGTTAGAAAATATTTGAAATCTATAATTTTAATTAAAAAAAAAACTATAACCGAGCGTAAAAAGTGGAAGAGCCCATTTGTTTTCATATTCTTTATAGCTTGAAAATATGTACATATAATAATAATATGTGGTAGTAGGTTTGTATGAATACGTATGTGTGTATGTATGTGTCTTTTAGAACTTACCGTGTGATCACGTCGTACACGTGATACCTAGCGAGACGCGCGTGCCTCCACCCAGGCCTCACGTCTGATATTAGCAGCACGAATTTCAAGTCTGCAGATACTTTGAAGTCTACCGCATTTAGTTCTCTCTGAAAAAAGGGTATCTATATAATAAATAAGAAATGTTGTTCGTTTGTAAGTGCGTCACTTGACTGATGGGGCATTTTTTTAAATATTTGTTCTAGTCTAAATAATGTTTTTTAGGGAAAAATATTTATCTGAAAATTGGTAAATTTCGGAATAACTGAAAATGCTTTAGTTATACAATTTTTTTTATAACAAATTAAATTTTAGTTTTGCTAAAATTGAAATTGGGAGAATACAACTTTTATCTGGTGGTCAGCAAGTTCTCAATCAGTCAAACTAAAACAACACGCTTTTCGGCCAATTATAAAACAAATAAAAGGTACCGAAACTCCTAGTACAGTTATTTATTTATAAACCATTTTTATTTATGATAAAAAAATTTAAAAGCACATGAAACACGCCCTTTCAATAAATTGGTGGTGGAATAATATTTTTTTCATTTAAAGTTTGAATTTTCCAATTGATTGGATCAACAACAACTTCTAAAACTACCAAAATTTTATAAAAGCTTTTGACTTGTTTTGTGGCGTTCACCAGAATTCAGTTCCTGCTTGTGGTCTTTTTCAAGACCGTCAAGCAAAATTAATAATTATAAGTTTAATTTCATATTATGGGCTGCTGTTTAGTATATGGGACACAGCCCCTGGAGGAGTGGGTGGAATTTTGCATAGGGAAGGCAAAAGGGAGTTCGTTTGGACTAATTTTATATATTTATATAAAATTTATTTTGAGCAAACGAAAGAGTCAAAAGTTATTGAGACTTAAAGTTACAACATTTCCATACATTATTATGACATTACTGAGATTCTGACACTTGGAAATGTCAAAATGTCACTTCCAAGTGCCAAAATGTTCTTTAGTTAATGAGTCAGATCTAGGAGTCTTAGCCTTCTCAACCTAAATTATCCAAGTTGGACTACCACTTAATCGAAAATAAATAATATACTTAGATTAAAAAAAATAGTCTACTTACGTTTATATATTGCATGAGCACACTTAAAACTATAGTAATACTATTAAACAAAAACTAGAAACGAGCGTATACGAAAATTTAACAAAAACGAATACTACTGAAAAATACGAAACCCTGGAACGCGTTTAATGAGTACCAGATCGTATTAACATATACTATCGAACTTCGCGGTATTTTGTAACTACCCGCCAAAAATACTGAAAAGTATTCACAGATAAATAAAATCAAATAAATGGTTTGGATTTTTTTGCAAAATGTAAATTAATTATATAACTCAATATTTTACATAAATCAAATAAAAACTCGTAAATGCAGGCATGAATTGAAAATAACATATTTCTATTTTAAAATCTTAGTAATCTGATGGCAATTTTCACTTCTCCTCCAGGTAAATTTCTAAGAAATTAATTAAAATTCAAAGAAATCTATTGTTAACTGACACATCGGCGTGTCCGCGGTCGTGGAGGGATTAATACGAGTAATATGTACTCTTAACTCTTAACTAATTATTACGCGATACTCTGTTGTCCTGAACGCGGTATATAAAACAGAAATTGACAGTTTCGTAAAAATTTAAGATTAATTTGTTTAGATTATTGCTTTAGTGAAATTATAAAAATATTAATACAATATAGCCTTAATTGTTATGAAAATATGGATTTTACACGAAAAAGTTTATTTACTATTCGATAAAGGTATGTTTATCTTTTGTAATGACTTATTTAGGTATTGAAATGTATGGAAATGTTAGTCTCCACAACTTTTGACTCCTTCGTTTCCTCAAAATAATTTTTATATATTTGAACTCCCTACCACCTCCCCTATCCAAAAATACCACCCACTTCTCCATAGGCCGCGTTTCATATACTAAACTTGTGCACGGTAATGTCATGCATACATTCCCGTGACTTGTGCTAAGAAATTGGATGAACCTAATTCAGACCATTCTTTGGACTATTTTTGTTTATTTGAATTGACGATAGATTAAGTATTTTATGAGTTTAAAGATCTAAAATAGTTTCTCAATTCCCAATCCCAGCCTCAGGGCACTACAGCTATTGTTAGAAAATTAAATTCCATTTGTATCGATTTTCGCGTAAACATTTCTAAGTTAACTTCGACAAATTCAATCAATTCTTCAATAATTGATACAGTTACTATAGAGTACAGAAGAGTAAAATATGAACAAAAATTGTCCTGAAAGTGCACGCAACAATTAATTTTGCCAAAAAAAAGCTGCTTATCTTGAGAAATTGTTTGTTGCGTTAATTCTAGAGCATATAGCGTTATGTATGGAATAGAGTCTATCTAATCTAATATATTTAAACGAGCAATTCTTGTATATATATAAATATATATATATAATCTGAATCTCGGAAACGGCTCCAACGATTTTCATGAAATTTAGTACACATGGTTTCGGGGGCGATAAATCGATGTAGATTAGTTTTATGTCTGGAAAAACGAGTGTTTTTGAGTTTTAATGCGGTTTTGTTTCGCATTATTCCAGCAAAATATGGTCGCTAATTCGCACGCTAGGACATAAGCATCACCTATCTAAAATAAACCTTTCATAGTCCATTATTCTTCAACGTCACAGTATTCAATTTGCACAAAACGTGCGTGATACTAAATAAATTGTATCGATACGTTCACGTCGCGTCGTCTAACTGACGTTGAGATATTACTACCCTTTTTATATTTTACTAGCGACTCACCCTCGCTTCGTTTGGGTTCGTCCCTTGCTTCTCAATACAAACTTTCGTCCCCATTTTCAATCCCTTAATGGATGATTTCCGGGATAAAAAGTATCCTATGTCCTTCCCAGGGTTTCAAACTATCTTCTTACCAACTTTCATCTAAATCGGTTCAGTACATCCAGAGATTACCCCCTACAACGTCACAAACTCACAAACTTTATGTCTTTATAATATTAGTATAGACTAGTGACTTTGACTGCCTCGGTGGTGTAGTGGCTAGCATGTACGGCTGCACACCTGGAGGTCCTGGTTTCGAGTCCCTGGTCGGTCCGAGTTTAGCTATTGTCTTTTTGTATAGTAAGCCTCAGTAACAGCCCGGAGTTGGGAAGTTGGCGGTGTTTCACTCCCGTGCCTCGGAGAGCACGTAAAGCCGTCGGTCCTGCGTCGAATTAAGATCCTATCGGATTTTGAGAGTGGCAGGAATAGACAGTGCACTTCTATCTGCGCGTACACGCGCTGCACTATTATATATTCTGCGCAGATCAGCTAGTGCTAGTGCGCTAGTCTATAAAATGAGATTGGCCGCTGTGGTCGAAATCTGTCAGGACATTATTACTATGATAACCGATTTTAATAATTTTATTTTAGCGAATACCTCTCGAATCGAAGAAAAATTTCACTTTTGCATGTGATGTTTTGAGTATGGAGGACGAAGTCGAGGTAAGTTGCACTTGCCAGTAGTATAAACAAACATAGATGTTAGCTTGGATACGATTATTTTTCTTTATAAACCATTTATTTATATGTATGTATAATATAAGTTATTTGTGTTTGTTGAAATAATACAAGTTGAAAGATTTAGACAATGCGAGCGAAGTTTACTCAATAAATATTGAGAGCATTTTGCTTTACACGAGAATTTCATGGCAAATTCTGTGTATGAAAGTAGAGATGTGCTCTCAGTTTTGTTTTGATTTTAGATGTATTCTACGCATTCTTCAGTAGCTATTTATGTATTATAATATTTTACTGAAGCACCTAATTTAACTGTGAATTTCCTTTAAGTGAATGGGATTTTTGAAATAGATTCGATTCTGAAAGTTCTTTTGAGTTTTTATCCCACACTCGAATTGAAAAAGTTTCTCACTCGAGTGAAGATTAAAGACAAAATATATATTTACATATTTGCATGTATATATCCTTCCTGTTGAGATATTTTTTTATGCCAGCTTGTTTGTTTGTTATCTTTTTAAGTGTAAACATGATTTCATTGAATACTAGTATGGGGATACTTCTCTTCGTAAGATGAGCATAGCATGTAAGTTACATTTATTTCTAAAAAGTACTTTTGGGCTAGACAGATATAAATTAGATGAATATTAAAAAAAAAAAATATGTTGGGACATTCACACACAGTACCATCTAGTTCCATGGTAAGCTACGAGGCCTGTGTTATGGATACCAGAGAGTTGATATACTACACATATATAACTTTAAATACATACATACAAATTATAAACTAGCCACTCACCCTCGCTTCGCTCGGGTTCGTCCCTAGGTACGTTTTAATTTTCTTCCAGTGAAAGTCCCGTCGAAATCAGTCCAGCCGTTTCACAGATTATCCGGCCAAACAGACAGACAGACAAAAATTTTAAAAATTGTGTTATATAATTGTATATTTGTATAATTGTATATAATTTCATATGTTTTTAGTAAAACGCTGTTATTTTGAGATTACAAACAGACACTTCAATTTTATTTAGCTGTATACAAGATATACCAATATTTAGACAAAATATATTTAAAACTTTTATTTAAATAAAACAAAGAGTCCCTGTGTATGGTACAGAAGAGTAAGCATTTTGTGTATCTTCTTATGTCTTCAAAAATAAATCTATTTGTAACGAAATGGTAACGAGACGATATAACAAAACTCCTTTTCCTTCAATTCCCCAGACAAAGTCGCTGACATTGTCATAACTAGAGCCGTTTCATATGCAGTAGAAACTGTATGTAGAGTTAGAACACATCCTGAATAACACCTGAAATGTCTAACTAAAATCTAGATCTCCGCTCCACTAATCCCGATGGGTCACTGTGCCAGTAGAATACTAATTCGTCTCATTTACTCATTTAGAATTCGGACTTGTATTTTAAACTAATGTTAATTGACCATTGTGCGGTTTACATATTAACTTGTGGTTACTGATTTTACAGGAAATATTATTGTCTTTCTACTAATTTAGTCTAGTGGCTAGTGTATTGGGTTCGAATCCCGAGTCAGGCTAGGAATAGCTATTGCATTTTTTGTTAAGAAATTCTCCAGTAG